TGCTTATCACTCGTGTTTACAATGCTTCTGTTTACGATGCTCAGGGTGTTAACAGTAACACTAGCGTAAGATGGTGCACAGCTTGCAACAAGAACAAACAAATGGAAAAAGGCCAAATCAAGACTGCCAAAAAAGCGAGTTATTCAAAATCTAGCAACCATATCAGCTTTTTTAACAATATATCTATAAATAACTCAAACAAATTTTCACTTCAAACTCACCAGAATTACTTAATAACATTAATATCTTATGAAATACGGCAGATTTGAGCTCAGAAATTATCTAATTTACTTCTTTTACTGCAAACAAAATTATCAGTTTGAAAATATCGCCTCGCAGAATAAGCTGTTGCAAACTTTCTAACCGGAACTAGAGCAGGTATTCAGCTCGAGATAGTAACTGTTTACATTTATATTGAAAACACCATCCATACGTACTCGTAAAATCTGTTGAATCTGAAGTCCTATGTTAAGTCTCTGAGTAGTACCAGAGGTGCAAGAATCTAGAGATAATTCCCTTCGATTTCAAATCCATGTCTTAATTGAGGAAGTGGCCTCACGAATGAGTGGTGCTGTTATCTATCCGAGGGGTTCTGATTCGAGACGCACTTTCACACTTGCAGTGCTCCCTTGTCAAATGAAAGGCGCGCCTACCTGACTTAATTCACAAGGTTAATAGCTGGCAAGCTTGGCTTATTCCAAAGTGTTATTAGAAACAACAAGACTAAAAGTATTACGTATAAGCTACTTGAATATCAAGATAATGTTTTGCATTATGAATTCCTTCCGACAGAGAAAAACAGTCAATGAAGTTCATTATTTGATTGTATTTCAGTGTTGCGAGAATAAGCTAATGTAGCGACTCTTTGGGCTTTGCACCATTCTAACGAATCTTTTGTCATTGCTGTTAATATTCAACAAAATGTTGGCAAGACATTCAACTAAGGTTCCACGAGCACCGTATTACTTATGTTGTTAATGCCAAACAGTTGCAGTCTGCAATAGTTGTTGTTGCAGTCTATTTTATATATTTTGCTTAAAGTTTTAACGTATACGGTTTCTTCGGGATCGCTAGCAAAATGGGTGCAATGGGTATTCGAATTGGGAGCACTACGTCCGAGTTATGATAAAAACGCAACGCAGATTGTGTGGAATGCTCGGGGCAACGCGCATTTCCGATTATTAGTAAGATTATTACCCCTAAAAAAACCCGATTATTACCCCTAAAAAAAAACCGAAATTATAAAAAAAATAGATCCAAGGTTGCGGCAAACAAAAAGTAAACCTTTTACGAAATTTCCATCGATTTTGGTTTTCATTTTTTCAAAAGGTCGCCATTTTTCAGATTTTTTTACTTTCTTCGCTTCGAACTACAGCTACTTATACATAATCGTTAATTTTTGGTATCATCTGTTTCAGTTTATACAATATGCAGATCGAGCTACACATCCGTCTATTAGCTCTTGGCACTGTTCATAGCAGAAAAGACAGGTGATTTTTTTAAAAAAATAAGAAAATGTCGGAAATAACTGGAAAAAAGGTGGGCTGAAATAATAGGAGCTCTGAGAACCCTGTGTTCACCATCATTCTTATACGTTAATTTATAATTATTTTGCGATTTAGAAAAAATTTTATGTAACTGAGAGGTAACGAAATAAACTTACGAAATCATTATAGAACTTATCCTGTAATTTTACCGAAATTATGAGGCTTAAATCGGACCTCTAGACCAGAAAAACCTATTAACTTATAATTGGACTAGAATTCTGAACACAAATTTACTGCATATGAAAAAAAAAAAAAAAAAAAAAAAATAAANATTTGGCGATAGGGGGGGGGGTTTACTATCTTAACTCAAAAACTATCAGAAGGTATTTCAGTTGCTTTAGTCTTTATTTTTGGCAGAGGAATCTTTTTTTTCTTTTAAAGACACGTGCTTAATATGTTTAAACGTGAGTAACGCTTCTCACTTTATTTCAATTTTGAATTTATTAAATTATTTATATTGATGGTTTCATTTGACAAATTTTTCCGATATAAAATTTTTAAAAAAATTATGGCTCTAAGACTTATTTTTCTCAATCTCATGACTAATGGAAAACTTTAGACCATTTCAAAAAATTCAATTTTTGTAAAAAAAGATATAGTACCGAAAAGTTAGCAAAAAAAAATGAGTACCCCCCCCCCTCATCTACTGGACATAACCAAATTTAAAGCCTCAGTGATCAGTATTATCCTTTCACTATATTTTAGGAAAAAAATTTAACGGGTTAGTGCCACTTTTAAGCTATTCGATTTTAATTTTGATGGAACAGTGCGCAAAAAAAAGGACCATTCTGAATAACTTTTGATCTAATGATAGGATCTTTAAGTTCTAAGACCCATTTTTAATGGTATGAAGGGATGACCTCAAATATGCAAATTAATTAGTGCTGACATTATTTAAAGTAAAAAACTAGACACGAAAACATACTTTCTTTGAATTAACATACCTTATTTTAGACGGATTCAGATTTATGACCCCCCAAAACTTAGAGGGTAGTCGCAATTTGCGGCATATGGTCCCAATTGTTTAGTCAGGAGAGCTCTCCAAAGATTGGACCCCTTAATGATAATTTTACTTTTTGCGTATTTCGCTAGAACTTTTACAGCGAATTTAGAAATTTTTACACACAATTATAAAATTTGTCAATTCAAAGATAATTCTATCCAAAAAATAATATTTAATAAATATTTATTATTTTATTTAAGAATGGTCAAAATTTTGAATTTTAAGGCATAGTTTTGTTTCATCATTTTAGAGAATGTAATTTTTATATAGCAAAGTACAAAAATTTGAATAAAATCAATCGAATAGTTCCTCAGAAATCGAATTTCAAGTATCTGACTTTTTTGAAATTTAATTTCTCGGGAAACCGATTTTGCTCAAATTTTGTAACATGCTATATAAAATTTCTTATTTCGCTGAAAAAGGTCAAGACATAGCGAAATACACATAAAGGAAAACTAGCATTAAGGGGTCCAAACTTTGGAGCACTCTCCTGACCAAACTATGGGGGGTCAGACATCCGAATTCGTCAAAGAAAAAAGTATGTTTATTCAGAGAAGGCAGGTTTTTGTATCTGATTTCGTAACTTAAAATATCATCTGCACTAATTATTAGCATATTTGAAGTCACTTCCTTGAAAAGAACAGTAATATTTTAAACATATTAAATACCAGAAAAAAATAAAAAGAATAAAATAGAAATAACTCCTTTTCAATTTGAATTTTCATATTTGATACCTAAATTTATATGTTCAGTCAGACTTCAATATAAGGTCACTTTTCCAAAGTATATAAGTGACGGCTCACTGAATAGGAATTCTTTGTTAGATTAACGGATATATGGTCAAGTTTTAAAAATCGTTATCGCTTATAAGGTCATTTTTATTTGAGGAGAGGGGAGCTCTTTTCTAACAAAAGCCTATTTAACTTCCTTACAAGGCAATTACGCTTTTCGATTTCTAGGAAAACGTTGCAGTCAACGAACAAACTACAATTTCTGAAATTGTTTTATAAGTTGTGGACAGTGAGGACAATGACAGTGATCCTGAGATTGAAGCTGTAACCCAAGTGCTTCAAGCTTTAAACCAAGTAGCTGTAACCACTTCAATGCAATAAATGTCATGCGAAATTTTTTTACATACCATGAGGGAGCTGAGGAACATTTTGAGAAGTTTTAAAATCTAGAAAGCATTGTTCGAAAAATGAAACCAAAAGCGAGACAGACCTGTATAAATGATTATTTTAAATAAGGTAAGATGTAATGTATGTATGTACACTTTGAGGAAATTTGTAAACAGCTTTATTTTAAATAAATAAAAATTTTAAAAAAATCTAACTTTCTTTAATTCTTTACTAATTCTGTTAAAATTTATTGACTTAAATATTTAATTTATGGCCGATCGTTTTCGTTTGTATTACCATTTTTAGAAAATCATAATGTGTACTATTTACGTGCTTAGTTACAAATTGCTAATGAATCGGTATCAAGGTCACAGTGCTTATAAAGCCACTTTTGCGATGTCCCTTAGGGTGACCTTATATCGAGGTCTAACTGTAGTTATAGTATTTAAATTTTAGTATTTTAATAAGCGAGCGAAGCACTCTAAAATGGCACTCAGTTTGCACAGACCTTTAGAGAACTGTGAAAGTAGTTTCAAATGTTGATGAGCAATAGTTAGCAGGGGAATTGCCACTAATAATTAATTAAAAGAATGTTGGCCTTTGAGTTATTTTATGCTCAGATGAGGATTTATCATTAAATTAGAGAGAATACGAATCCCCTATAATAATTTCAAAAACTTATAAATACAAAAATCGATTTTTGATTTTTAAATCACTAGAATATTATCAACAATAAGTAACTTTTAAATCAGATAAATAAGAAAATCGCTGCTTGATATTAAAACAGAGTGAATATGAAACGTGGTATTAGCGGATTTCGGCGTAGTTTCTAACACTAAAAACAATGAAAATAAAAAAATTTATAATTTGTGCAAGAGTCACGTTTTTGAAAAAGTCTCCTACTATTTAGCGAAGGTTTCAAAATATAAATTGTAGAACCGAATTCTTACTTTAAATTTCAGATAGCAGTGAACATTTTGATTCACGAAAGTCAGTGAATAAATGGCTTTGAGGGGGAGGGGATCACACGCCCCGATCCCACTTCTAAAATTAGAGGGATGATATGAAAAAACCGAAATTCCGAGATACGCCGGGAACACAATCACCCTTAGTTGATTTTTAATGAACAAAAAATATTTATGTTTTGAAGTCCATAATGGCATATTTAAAACATCTAGAAAACCATAAAATCTTACATTCAATGTTTGAAAACTAAAATTTTATAGATTTAATGACACTTAATTAATGTAAATAAATCTATTAATCAGAGAAAATGAGAAACTTTTTTCATTAAACTTGATGTACTAACTCATAGAAATAAATAAAAATAAATAATGAATTGTGAAACATTTATTATTTAAAAACAAAAAAATACAAATGAATTAATTGCATTTCCCCTTTAGAAACTGATAAAATACTAAAATTCAGTCATAATCTAAATGTAAAATAAAATCATAAGGGAATGCTAATTAATATAAGTATTAACCAAACTATAAAGGTGGATAAGTTCTCATAATAATGAAGATAACTTAACACTTTACAAAAACTAAATAAAAAAAATATTATACAACACAAAATACAATGAAAATGAAAGAAGTGTTATAATTCTTTACCACACATGGATTTCAAAATAGTTGATTGCTGTGAAGTTTTAAAAGTGAATTTTGTGCAAATATTAAATATGTCAAATGTCATTTTACAATTTCCTAGCCATAGGTATAAAAAGCAAATAATGTGAATGAAGGCAAAGCTTCAACACAATTGCAAGAGGGAAAATAAATACTCGTAATAGAAGCTATCCATATTTAACATACGCAATAAACTGAGAAATTCGCGGGTATAGCAACTGAAAAAAAAAAATAATAATAAAACAAATGCGTTTAGCAGAACAAAATGTATATAATAAGAACATTGAGCACTACATATTCAATAGTTGCAAAGGAAAATGCAAAAGACAAATGACATACAAAAAATAAATAAAAACAGTTCATAAAAATGATTTTAGAGTAAGATGTCTATAGCCTCGACTCTCTTCAATATTTCAAAATTTCCAGTATAAAGAATGAAATTAAAAATGGCTAGTTGTGAATCAAATTATTTGATATTTTAAAGGGCTTTCATTTCACTTCTTAAACATAAGAAAATGATTTTAATCTGAGTCCTTATGTTTGTTGTCAATAGATAATTAATATAGAGAATTAGATTTTAATCTGAGTCATAATGTTTGTTGTCAATCAAACTGGTATTTGCAGTACTCAATGCACTTATTTAAGTGATTCTACTAAACGCACTTGCTGGTTCTTAGCACTCTTAAAAAGTGCAAAATACATTTTCCGCAAAAATCTCATTAAATTAACTTGTATGCGCATGTTTAGAAATATATAAGAAAGATTATGTGGTAAGTATGAAGAAATCTAACCAGTTTGATTGACCACAAGTACATTGTATCTTTTTTAAATAAATTTGAAAAAAAAAAAATACAAAACATAAATTTTAAAACATTATTTCACTATCATAAACTGCTGTTCTACAATTTTTTTTGCCGCAAGAATTAATGTTAAGCATTAAAGCTAAAACTTAAAATATTATTCTTTGACAAATCTTATCACAAATACATTAGTTTTAATGTTTGTTTTTTTAAATATGTGCACTTTTATTACATTTATGATAAACAGAGTGTACCCAAAACCATAATACTTATATGAATAGCTTCAGATGAATTGTGTCATCAAAGTCAATGAATATTATGTACAAAAATATGAGATATGTAACCTTTGAATCTTAATGATTCACGCTTGGAAAAGAAAGTTAAAAGTCAATAACAGCATGAATTTCGATCTTAACTAAAAAATTATATTATTGAAGTAAAAAAAAAAACTTCTCAGCACTTTCACTTTTCATTATTGCAAACAATGAACAAAATTAGACATTAGTTGAGTCAGGCTACATGCAATATATCAATATATACATGCTTTGTATAATGAACAATGCAAAGGAACTATGTAAATATATCACTTTCACCAGCAGGCAGTTGGTGACAAGCATCAAACCTCAAAAAAAGAAAACCACACATGCATTTCATTGTACAATACAACAATGTCTTAATTTCTGTTAGAAAACCAAACTAAATTTTAAATTAATTTTCTAGAACAGAGGAATTTGTTTTTTTTCTTCTTCTAATTTTTTACAAAAGTAATCAATATAAAAACATGTTTCTTATTCCAAAAATATTAAATTCCACAAAAATAAATTATAAAACATCCAGAATATATGTATTTTACAAGTATGGGATATTATATTAAAAGGACAGGGAAGGAGGGAGAGAAAAAAAAATGACCAAAACTATCAATGGTATCTATACAAACACAACAAGCCAGTCCATTTATCACAAGGTGAGTAGGGTTTAAAAAGTGCAAATCTTGTAGGAATACTGGGAACCACACACTGCATGCCTTAGTTGCACTTGGAAGGTGAGACACCCTAATCACCACATTCTTTGGTCGTGTGCAAGCTAGCACATGCACAGAGAGCTGAAAGTCCAGCAGGAGATGGTTATTTGGACAAACCTGACTGTTGCTGTTGGGGTGTGCTGGCAAATGCTGGACTCTGGCCTTGAGAATTAGCTCCTCCTTGGACTGTAGTGTTCAGGTTCGGTTGGGGCTGAGGCTGGCCGGTCAGCCTGGACAAAATGCCCCTCTCAGACATCTGAAGTCTTTGAGCGACTGGTGGAATGCGAGCCAGAGTGGCAGGTAGGCGGCTCACGTCTGACTTCATGTCACTCAGTAGCTCTTCCAGCTGATTGAGCACTACAAAAATAAAAAAATTTCTTTTTTAAACTCTACAGTTGAATAATTTTATAAAATTATTAAATTGAGACCAAATATGTACTTTATTTAAAACATAAATTAGCCAAATGATGAAAATTAGAAATTCTGAAAATAAAGATTATGCAAGCTAGAACAAATATCTTTTTAGTTATTTTCTCTCTACAATAGTTCCAATTAAAAAACTTTTTAAAACAGAAAGATATATATAAACCTTCCAAATAAATATCATTTCTAAGCCCTCTAGAGAATAAGAATTCTCAATATATGTATGTATATCAGTATTTTTGATTATGAGGTGAAAAACAATCCACCTCAGTCACGATTTAATTAAGCACCACTAAAACTATTAGAATCAACTATATCTTAATTCTAATTAAAAAATTAATAAATGATACAGAGCTGCAATACAAAAACAGATGATGAAAATAATTACTTTCTCTTAATATAGAGCAATATTTTCCTGATTATTAAACATATGTATTTTTACCTTTGTGTAGGACTGCATTAGCGGGTTTATTTCCAGCTAATGATTCTTTCGATAAATGTTGATGAGATTCTGCTAAGCATTCAAGTTCAGCAAATCTAGGATGAAAAGTAGATATGAATTAAAAACACTCAGCAAAACAATTTACCACACACCTAAACTAAAATGCATATCATAAGAGATATTTACCTAGCATTCAGAGCCATAGCTGGGTGATTAGGATCTTGTGTAAGATTTAAGTAAGCAGCTCTTCTTAATTGTTCTTCTATTACTAATGCTTGTTCTAAAAGCTATAAAAAGAAATTAAATTAACCAATTTCTTTTTTTAAATACTCAATGAACAGTTAAAAAATACATATTTAAGAAGATAATGAAATAATTTAATAATTATAATTTAAAATTAAACTTTACAAAATTATTGAGCAAATTGAGCATTGATGAGATAAAAAGCAACTAAAATATTAGTTTTAGATTTGTAACACAATCTTTTACATATAGATGTATTATCAAAATTCAGGCACATAATTAAAAAATCAAAATACATAAATACACACACACACAGAAAAAAAAAAGATTAAGACACAGGACCTTGAAACCATCAAATTTCCGAAAAAAATTTTTTTCGTTCAAATTGTGCAGAAAGCCAAGCTTTATCACGTGGTGCTGAAATTTTTTTGATTCGATCATTTTTAACGATTTTATGAACATTTTTCGAAAAAGNTATTAATTTCGGCATTTATTATGCCCTCAGGAAACATGAAAAATGCTGCAGTTCATTAAGTGATATATGCTTGTAAAATGTAGCATTTCCTTAACATAAATTAAAAAATATATTGACAATATAAAATATATTTATTATCTAAAAAAGAATTGAAATTTATGAATGAATGTAAATGAGAATGTAATTAAGAATGTAAATTTATTTGCAGAAAAAATTAGTAAATTTAACTCTCTGTTAACTAAATGAATTATATCAAATATGTAAAATGAAATAGCAAATTACCTTAAATCTTCTAGCAAGGAACTTATTTTTTATTTCTAGGAAATTTCCCTTCCCAACATCCATTTTGAATGGCTCATTTATAATACTAAAGGCAAAATCATTTTGAATATCTTGCCACCTACCATAACCATGTCTAAGAAAAAGTTAAGGAAAGTACAACATAAAAAAAGTAGTACAACAAATTAACATACTTTAAAAATAATCAAAAAGTTAATTGATGAAAACTAAGTTGATAAACCATGTGAATATAAATCCCGATATGAGACTTAAATCACGTTAATATGAAACTCTACATAGAATTTAAAAAACGCGCAAATACAAATCATGATTTTTTAATCACGATGCATAGTTTTTAAATCGCGCGATATTACAACCACAAAAACGAATCACGATATTGGATTTGAATATACGCGAATACGAATTGCTACATAGGGCTTTAAAAGCTCGTAAATACAAATTGCGATATTGATTTTTTAAATCTCGTAAGTAAGAATCGCAATGTACAATATTTAAATCGCCTAAATCAGAATCGCAACGTTCAACTTGTAAATCAGGTAAATACAAAAATAGAGATTTGATAATAAAATCGCGATTTTAAAAATACATAAATACAAAACACGATATTGGATTTTTAAATGTCGTAAATAAGAATCATAATATACGATATTTAAATAGCGTAAATAAGAATAGCAATGTGCAACTCTTAAATCAGGTAAATATGAAAATCGATGATTGATATTAAAATCGTGTGAATAAAAATCGAGATATTTGCAGAGTCTGGACTTGGGATTTCTAAAAGGCTTGTTTGTATTGTTTTTGTTTAGACGTAATAAATAAATGAAATAATTGAATGAGCAAATAAATATTTTCACTGCAAATCCACCTCTATTTTTGTTTGTTTTCACGCCACAATACAAGAAGCAGCGACGTTTGAATTACGAAAATACAAGCTATCCAGCCGACGGATAAAAAATACGGAAAATCTTATTTTCTGTGCGTGAAATTGGAGAAAATAGCTAAAATAAGTAAAAATGCGGAAGGGTTAGCAGCTAGGGCGTAGATTGAATTTTCTGTTTATCTTTGAAAATCGTAAATAAATATAATTATTTTACTTCAATGACTGAATTTATAAAAAAAGGGATATTTATTTTAAAAAAAACTAAACTTTTAGAGAATTGGAGTTTTTGATAAAAAGGCTGAAATTCGAGAGACAAAAAAAATTTCATCCCTGAATAAAGGTCAACCAGTTTTATCCCAAGGAAATGATTTTTAGAGAAACTTCAGAGGGAGGAAAAGGGACTTCAATAATTTCCCTCCACGGAAAATTAAATTCCTCATAAAATATTTTAACTTTAAAAAAATAATTTCAGCGGAAATTAGCGGGAAAAATCTGAAGAAAAGCGGAAATCTGCGAAAGAATCTCATCCCTGATATTTACTTGTAAAGCTTTTTTTTTTTTTAAATTTTAATATTTTTTTGTTGAACACTTATTTATTATTCATAATTTTTATATGTTTAATAAAATAAATGTATGTTACTTTTGAAACCATTACATCAATAAAATTTTTATGTTAAGCTGGTTAACCTTTCGAATAGGTCACATAGTCGTCAAATAGGTAAGTTGGTGTTAAAGGGGACTACTTTGGCTGGTATTAAACTGCAAAGCTTAACACTTTGTTGACTGGAAATTTTTTTAACAGAAACTATATTATGTCAGCAGCTATTATTTTGTAATTGAATATGGAAGTAGTAAAACATCCAAAATAAGTTCATAAATATTTTTACTGAATGAAATTAAAACAAACCTTGAAATATTTTATACCATCCTAGGTTTAATAAACACATAATGCAAGTGCAATGATGAGTTAACTTGTTCCCAGTTAACAATGGGTTAAGATGATGTGTTCACAAGCATTTAAGTTAACCATTAAAAGTTTTTTAAAGTTTGAACATTATATTACTATGCGATTTCCCCCAGCACTGTTCTTAAATCAATTCTGCATTGACACAAATAATAATATGCATAATTCAAAGTAAGCACACAAGCTTTAAAAGGATACTTGACGATGCCAGCTAATAGCCAGTAATCATGTCTTCTGTGCCATATTTCATATTCTCGACCAGGAACAGCTGCCCTTTCTTCATTTTGCCACAATGTGTGAAGCTCAGTGAAACCGCCATCAGCGATGTTGAACATGAATTTTCTTTTACCCTTGGATTCTCCATCTTCTTTCCCATCATCTTTGGAAGGTTTTTCATCATCTTTTATCTCTATCACTTCAGCTTTGTTATTATCTATCAATTATAAAATTTTTTTGAAAAAGTTGTAGGCATTCTGTTGAACATATTTATAACAAAACAAGTTAACTAAATACTTTTAATTCTCTTTTGAATAACACAAAAATTTGGCAAACAGCAATTTTAAGAAAAGAAAATTAAAACACTCTGCATTAAATTAAAACACTGTTCAAATTCAGTCTAAGGTTGTAGGGCGGATATGCACAAATTTCGCACATCACAATTTATATTGATAATATTTAAAATTTTACAACATAAATTTCAAAAAAAAAAAAACATTAATTGCAATTAAATACTAAACTTGTCCTAAAAATTTATAAGTTAAGTACCGTTGTACCATGGACTTCTTTCTTGCTGGGTAATAAAATTAAATAGAATTTTATGGCGGTATGATAAGCTATGAAACAAAAGTATTACTTTAAACTTTAAAGCCGCCAATACATCGTACTGGAATGAAGGGACAAGAGTATCAAATTATCTTTAAAACACCCCCCAAACCATACAAAAAATAAATCAATAAAATTTCTAGTTAGATGGTTTTCTTTCTTAACAACACAGGCTTTGTGGCAGTTCAAAATAACAATCAAGGCAATATTTTACAAAAGAATCACATTTTTTGGCATGGTTTGATCAGTAATAGGACATTTTAAATACATTCATACTAGACTATTAAGAAGGACATACGCTCTCTTTAGCAACTTTAATAGTCACAGATAATTTCAGGCATAATATAGTTCAGAAAATATTACAGAGCACTAAATAAACTTACAATATTTTGTAGAACAGGAGTCATAACAAAATCTTTGCAACATTACTTAACGTATATTAGGCAAATCTTGGAATTCAGCAAATGGTTCATAAGATTCTTTAATTTTTTTTAAAAAAAAGGGAAATTGTATATAGAAGAACGGTTGTATCTCAAAATTGCTTGCAAGTTTTTTTAAACCATTTTTATAGCTATTTTTTATTACCCTTCAATTTTTTAAAATAACAAATAATTGTATTTACACTAAAAGGATGGCTAGGTCCATTTTAGCCTCTCTTGTTTTCTATTGTTCTGTAATTCAAAAATATGACTTACTGAAAAAGTATTGAGTATAACTCACAAGTGAGCCTTATAGTACACATGTGAGCCTTAAGTACAGCATAACCCCTGGTAGGTTTGGGTATGAGGTATTTTTTAGTAGGTATTAGGTACCCCAGTTTCATTAAAAAATAAGAGTACTTCAACATATTTTCAATTATTATTAAGGAAACTCAATTACTTACAAAACTAATATACAAGTGAACTTGAAAGTATTCAGTCGTCTAAAGAAGTAATTTTGTTAATCAAATCTAATAAAATACGATAGAATTCAACTTTGATGACAGAGTCTCTGATATATTTCTTAACATCAGGACAAAAAGTTAAAAATCAGGATAAAATATTTTATTATCAAAAATGTAAGGACAACTAAGAACAACGAATTTCTCGACCCTTGAGACTTTGTGGATGGGTAGACCCTTAGGCTAAAAAATTTGCAGATCCTACTTTTTCTGAATTACATATTAAGGGTGTTATATTATATTAAGGGTGATTATAACTAAAACAAACAGCATACTTTAACAATAAACAAACATTAAAATTTCATAAATTTACACAAACCATTAGTTTTTTCCTTATTATCATGTGATTTATCTTTATTTTCTTTATCAGCATCTTTATCTTCATCCACAAATACTTCTGGTTTCTCTTTTTCTTCTGTGAAAAAAAATGGCATGGTTTAAAATATTTTAATTCCAGCAGCATTAATTACAGCAGCATTAATTACAAACAGAACTTCCAATAAATACCTTTTTTGATTTCTACAGAAGAATCCACTTCCATTACTTCATCATCTTTTGGTTCAGTTTTTATTTCTTCCTTCTTCTCTTCGTCTTTTTTCTCTGGCTCTTTAGCAGCTTCAGCATTCTCCTTAACTGGTTCTTTAGTCTGAAATTCAAACAACAATAATTTGTTTTACCAACAGACTGCACAGTTCAGTAATTTATACAATTTGGAAATTTTTTTTAAACGTTAATAATATTTTAATGTTTTGTTTGAAATAGTTATAAATTACAATAGCAGGGTGCGTAGCCAGTTTTTCAATCAAAAAATAAGCACCTTTCAAGTACTTTTCAAGCACTCAAAAAAATATTTTTAATCACCTTCCAAAAAAAATCCTAATTAGGATTCGTGCAGTAATCAAAATTATTTTTTCTATCATTTAAAGTACTTAATTTATAAACATAAAACCAATAAAATTCAATAGTATTTTCAAAAACTTGACATGACCATGATGATATAACTAATTTTTGATAAATAATGCAAAGAAAATTGTGAAAATAATGCATTTTTTGTAATTTTGAACAACAATCGATACGGCAAAGAAAAAATCTCTTCTTAAAAGATAGAAAATTAAGGACTTTTCACAAACACCAAATAAAAAAAGCACCTTTAAGCACTTTATGAAAGCGCTACGCACCCTGAATAGATGTATTTCATTCATTTTACCGGTAAATTAATATTAATATTATGAATAACCCATAAATTGAAAATGTTTGGTAGGAAAAAAATACCTCACATTGAACAAAGAAGTGTTGAACTGATGCTATGAAAAAAATTAATTTAGTTGCAACAGACAACTTTCTTTAAAAGAGATTAATAATCTAAGGTGCATTAAAAAGGTTGTTTTTTTTCTTTTATAAATTGAATTCCAAACTTTAATTTTTCACTTTAATTCAAATAGTTAACTATGAATAAAATAAGTGAAAATCCTGATTTTTAAATAGATCAATAAGCAATTAAAATAGATAAATAAAACAGATTTTAAAATCTATTTCATTTTTGTTTTTATATTTCTACCAGCTAAAGTTCTGAATAAATATATTAATAGCATCAAACATTAATAAAAAACTTAGTGTTTCTAAACTAAGATTGTTATTACAAATTAAGCACTGAATAAATGAAATCTTAGTTATTTTCATTCAAGCTCAATACCCGTATAAATTACAAAGAAAGAATACCAATTTGTTGGATATCAAATTAAGAGTTAATATAAATCAGAAAACATCAAGAAAAATTGTTTTTAATTTCATTATTAAAATATACAGTAGAGAACCAATTATCCGGGATGCTCGGGACCATCGCTATCCCGGATATCTGAATTTCCCGGTTTTCTGGATCGACCAAAAAGTGTCGTTAATCGATGTTTTATCGAACCCGAAGTACAAGGAAAAAGTGTAATGCATAAAGTAAGAGAAAAAAGAAAGGTACTCCTAACTTTAAAAAGAAAAAAAAAATGGTAGAAATATAACATTTAAAAGAATAAAAAAATTTGCAAGTTTAGACAAGAAAATCAAGTTTAAAAAATACAAAATTCTCATATTTATTTTTTAAAAATAATTACAATTCCTAAATTAAATAATATAAACAAAACCAATGATTAAATAACGCAATATATTTCATACCTAATTATACGGGGGAAACGATAAAATAAAAGGAAAACTTATTAATCTAAATAAAAACACTTGAAAATTATCGAACCGAAACGATAGTTAAAAAAGGCACTAGCATAAATATTAAAACCCGGAACAAGGCAAGATCAACGGAATTTTAAAAAAAAAACCTAATGATAAAATTTATGAATAAAAAGAATTAATTTATTGAGTGCGAAATTTATCGCGAAAAGAAAAAAAATCAAACGTAGTGGAATCAGAAAAACAAAACTGCAATCTGCTTCATAAAATAATCCTATGTTTAAATTAATAAACAATTCTCCTTTTATTTTATTTTTTTTTTTGTTGATAAAAACAAGATTTTTAATTACAGCAGATGTGATTCCACACCAAGAAAAACTTGCAATTGATACCGCACTTCCAAAGAATGAGAATTTATTCAAAAGAAAAAGATTTTATTTTTATTAGTCGATGTCAAATAAATATATTTTTCTCTTTTCTTTTTCTGTTCACTGATATGCATGCAATGCATTTTCCCCACCCCCCTCGTAAATCAAGCAGAAAACGAAATCAGCATGCCACACCCTTGAGTTTGATTGACGGCCTAAAGGAAAAAATAAAACATTCCTCCCTTCCCTGCCTTCAAGGTCACGGAGGAAATGACGTTTCTCTGGGTAAACGGGGAAACAAATTCTCTCCTTCCTTACATTTTCCTCTACTCAACTTCAAGGATGAGTTCATTTCCGCTTTTTTTCATAATCATTCTAGTTTAAAATGGCGGGAAAACCGATCAAAATTTTTCCCCGGTTTTCTGGTTTCCCGGTTATCTGGATACCGGATAAAGGGTTCTCTACTGTATTAACTAAAGAGTTTTTAAAGAACTATGCATTAAACTAAGTTATATGGATATAGTTAAAATATTAGTAACAAGACAGCATATTATTTTACATATAATTAATACAAAATTATAATTAAATAAATTTAGTCTCCCTTTCTCTTTGTATTCTTTGGACAAAGCTTTTATTATCAACAAAATTGAGTCTTAAAAATATATCCAAACCTCAAATATACTTAGACCTTCATTTACATGACCTGGTCCATATATAAATATATATATATATATCTTTTTTGAGTAAAAGAAAATTTTTTTTTGAATTAAATGATTCATATCATGTCTACTACGACATATAGTTAAGTTTATTTAATTTTATTTCACATTCCATGTGCAACAAAAACATATTCAAAAAACTTCTCACATATTTAGGACAATATCTAATAGAACGCATATTACATGAAAGCACCATTACCTCAGGATTATCTACTTTTTCTTTGCTTTCGGGTTCTTCTTTGATATTGACATCTTTAGCAGCATCTTCAGCACCAGTAGGAGCTGGTGTGGAAGCAGGGGTGGGAGCAGGCGTTGATTCTTTACTATCTGTGGGAGTAGTGGTGGTTGTACCACTTGTGGGAGCTGACGATGTGGGCACCTCAGGTAATTTGTTCGGTAATTCACCAGGAGGAATACTATAAAGACCATTGATATGCTCGAATTCTTGCACCTAAATAATAATATAAGTGAATAAATATACTATCACAATAATCAATTGCATAATTTGAAATGGCCTTTTTTTAAAATCAACTGCATAAAAAAATTATAAAACTGCCTTAGAAATAATACTCACTTTTTTCCTAATCAGGGACATTACTCCAATCCTTGTTAGTACATGTTGGCGAGAAAGACCTTCTCTAGGCACGCCATCGGCAAATGTCTCGGAATTGTCCGCACCAGGTTCACAAAGGTGACGCATAAATAGAGAAACGTAGGCCTTGAAATTTTTTTCAGACTTGCCTCTCAGATCACGCACCAACCTAAAAATGTGAAGTGTTTAATAAAAATTTTATAGTATTTAACACATTTTTAAATAGCAATAAATTAATTATTTAAAAGTCAAAAATTCACGCCAGCAGTTCCAAAAACACTTTCTATTAAGAAATTTAATTTAACAGCATTTAAATAAAAAATTATATAATAAAACAAGTCTTATCTTGAAATTAACACCAGAAAGTAAACTTAAAGTTTATACAACTTTGCTTTTCTACATTTCTGTTAATTCTTTTACATACAGATATACATCATACTTTAATACACAGATATACATTACTGCTCGACAGACCCATTTTATGATTTATAATCAAGCCTACTCTAATTTTGTCATGTTTCAGTTAAGATTCCCAGCCGAAATTTCTATATATCAAGTTTTACAAGCATTAAAAACACTTATTGAGACAACATGCCTGTCTCATTTTCTCCATAAGGTTTCAAATTGTTTGGGTATGGATTCTCAGCACCTCTGTTATATCAGGACTACTTACTTTACTTTTGATGGGATGAATTACTTAAAACATGTTTCGTTTAGTCTAATAAAATTTACTAGGGAAGACCAAATTTGATATTAAATAAATAAATAAAAAATATGTAATAATTTTATCTTTATTAATTATGTTGGTATATCTCTTTCAAATTTTAGTATGACTTTTTAGCATTGTTCAGGACTAATCCATTGATTATTTACTTCTATTCTTCCAACTCAGTACTGAGAACGGATATTTAACTAGTCATCAATAAATACACTGAATTACTATACAGGAAAAAAGTTAATCCTTACTTTCCTCAAAAAGTGCATGTACTGATACGATAATATTTATTATAGTAAAATTTAGTTTCTTAGGACTTTTTGACTTCAATAATTTTTTTATAGAATAAATTGTTTGAAACCGCTAATGATATTTAAAATTTCATACTTTTGGGAACCTACAACATAGATTAAGTATTTGTATGCGGTTTATAAAGCAGGGAATAGCCTGGAAAATAATCAATCTAATTTCTCCTAATAATTACTAATTTTCTTTTTCACACCTCTATTACTGCAATTGTCAGGTGTTAAATTGTGTAATAATGCATCCCAGCAGCAATTTATATAGCCTATTTTTGATACAAAACCAATCTAACAGACAAAAGGCTTAGTATGTCATACAACATGAAATTTACAATCAAACTAAGTAATAAATTATTTCTGGATTTATATAACTACGTTCCTAAAACTATATGCAATAAAATTAATAACTAAGGTAAATCAAGGACAATAAGCAAAATTACCATTGTGAATTAAATGCATCTTGAGGCGGCATGCCATAGCGCATAATTGCATTTAAGAAAGCTTTTCTCTGTCTGGCATTGAATCCTAGCACCTAAAATTAGAAAGCATTTGTAAATTAAACTGCACTTACAACAACCACTTAAAATAATAGATCAACAGTATTTGATTTCTTACTTCAATATTTCCACCAACACGTGCCAATAGAGGTGGCAATGGCTTATCTCTCTCATTTTGACCCAGTCTACCCTTACGACCTCGTACGCCTTTCTCTGAAAACAGAATTGCAATTTTTTTTTAAAAAAAGATTACAATAAAAAAGAGAGAAAGAATTCTGATGAACAGAATAAAAAAATATACCTTCATTTTTCTCTTCGAAGTCATCGTCATCTTCATTGTCATCTGGAAACAATAAAACTGATTAATAACATCCTTCAAAACTTAATTTTATGAATTTATACTTATGAATTAAATGAATTTCCCTCAAGAGATTAAATGGGTAAAACAACAACTTTTTAACCAGCATAGTGAAAACTTCAACAACAAGAACTATGGCTGCTGAAAAATGTAAGTATTTTATAAATTCAAACAAAAACACACCTGTCTATTTAGCTTTACAATGACTACTATCAAACTAAAAAAAAAAATTTCTTTTATAAAAAGGAAAATAGATTTTTACGCAATATTTCAGTACTTGAAAGTTAATATAGCAACTATATGCTTGCTTATTAAAATTTATCTTGCACCTATTGTTTTTTGATTTTAAAGAGAATAATGTAGAAGAAAAATCTTTATAAAAATCGGTAAATAATGTAATAGTTGATATGATGCTTAGATATTGAGATGGCAACATAAATATATTTTGATGCAAATAGTATACAAATAGTAACTTGAAAGAATGACTTAAAAGCCTGCGCACATTCAGAATAAAACCATATGCTTTTTTTGTTTCGCAATTACCCGAGAGCTATGTTGCAGGCATATTGCCTATATGTGTGCAACATTATAGGTTTTAATGACAGCTTTCTTTTTCAAATCATTAACACGTTGAATGCCACACTAATTTTACATGGCTTGCCTTCCGGACAAAATGACTTTCTCAGTATGTATCGCATTAGTTTCTTCAAACCATTTTAGTAACGATAACAATATAAAAAAATTAAAAGCATTAAAAAATTATAATTCGATTTACAAGTTTCTAATAATATTGACTTGTGACCGCCATGGCATTCAACGTGTTAAAAAACACCTATAAAAAAAATTAGATAGTCAATTCTGCCTACATCTTAAGCAATAAAAATATAAGTTTTTCGTATATAGTCTTCTTAATGATGGAAAATTCCTTTTATTCAATTTTAAAAAAAAAATCATAATTCATGGTGACAATCAACAAGAGAAAGATCTCATTTTGGGAAAGAAAAAATAAAGAACTTTTTTCAAACAATTAATGGGGAAAAAAAACTTTAAGGTCTTTTAAAAAATGAAAATCAAAGCACCATTAAGCACAAATTAAAATGCTCAACACTTGTATTCCTATATATTTTCCACAAAAATTAGAATTAAATTTTTTTCATTTCTATAAATTACTTATTCCACAGATTACTTTTATAGATTATTGATAGATTACTTTATTCTATAGAAATTACTTATATAGATTACTTGCTACAGTTATCAAAAATATTATATTAACTATAAGGACAAATTTTTACTTACCAGATGGAACAGAGAAGTCAGAATTGTAGTCAGACATAGTATCCTGCCAGGTTGAATCATCTTGTGTGCCCATAGCGTCATTATAATTAACTTGTTTACGAACCCTCTTGCCTTTTCCCAAAGTTCTTGCCATATCTTCTTGTTGCTGCTCATAATGATGTCTCAGAAGTTTCTCCCAATAAGCTGGATCAGCAGATTCAACTTCTTGTTTCAAGATTTCAGTTTCAGGTTCCTGTTGAATAAATTTGATTTTACTGCTAAACAATTATTTATACACTTACAAATTTTTCTAAACTAAATATAAGTAATCAGAATTACAGTAATGCAGACCTATGATGTTACCATGCGCTAGTATAGTATGCCTATGTAAGAATATATTAAGTATACATGTAGTAAAATACCAAGTTTGCTCATAACTCTAAAGTTAAAGTTACACTTGGATGAAGGTACAGAAATAAAAAACATATGTCGCCCGAATTTTAAATTTGGGGGAGGGGANATATTAAGTATGCATGTAGTAAAATACCAAGTTTGCTCATAACTCTAAAGTTAAAGTTACACTTGGATGAAGGTACCAAAATAAAAAACATATGTCGCCCGAATTTTAAATTTGGGGGAGGGGAACTTCTCCAATTACACTTATCTTGTAACACCTGCAACTCTTTCACCCATGACTCAGATAAGTCAAATAATACCTTGGGGAAAGAGGGTAGAAACATCCTACAACTTTGCTTTTATTAGTTTTTAATTTCAGTTTCTAGAAATCTTTTTTACTTCTTTTATTTGTTGCTTTTAGAAATAATCTAAGTAGGAAAAATTTGTAAAAGAATAGGTTCATACACCAAAATTTCAACTCTTAATTATTAAGAAGAAAAAATACATTTTTAACAGATTGTTTAAAAATTCTTCTCAAAAACAATTATTTTTATTATTGTAATAAGACTGTAACTATGAAAGTGTAATAAATATGGATAAATCTTAATAGTTGGCATCTCTAGACTAAAACAAAATAGAATGAAAACACTCTCTAAACTACTTTTTGATACAGCAACATCGAGAGAAAATGATGTAAGAAAACAGAATGGACAAATGGCAAAGAGTTAGAACACTCACTGTTTAAAAAGTGATGAAAAAAAAGCATTTTTTAAAGTTTAGGATGTTTCTAGAATTCTGATGCGTCTATGAATAAAATTCTTAATTTCAAACATTATAATTAACATCATAATAAGCTAAATAAATAGACACTTCATGAACGTCTAATACGAATTTGATTCCTAGCAACTCTCAAATAAGGTGAAAAATCTCAGCAGAAAATTCTGCAGAATGATGCAACACAGATATTATTACACCATTAATGAAATTTGACACAACTCTCACAAGAAAAATAGACGAAGAAATAATAGAAAAATAGTTAAAATATAAAGCAGTTCCGTGGCCCAAACCCTTCAATTAAATTTAAGCTTCAATTTCAAAATTTTAAGAATATTCTTACGGGAAAAGAATACAGAGATTAGGATGATCAGTTATGCAGCACAAAACTAAAGCATTAAAAAAATTAAAAAAAAAAAAACAAAAAACAAAAAAAAAGATAGAAAACTAAAGTGAAAGGGAAAATATAATTGAAAAAACAGAAAATAATAGACATGCCACCTTTTATAAAAGCCTATCAATAGCTATATAATATAATTAACACACATAGGCTAAACCAAATCATAAAATAATAATTCCCCTTTAAAATTTTTATTTTCTAAAATAAATGCTTAATTTTTATACTGTGAAAATTAATTAAAATCGAAAGAGGGTAATACAACATAAAAATAGAATATTTATGAACTTTAATTGTAAGTTCAAATTATTCATTAAAATTATGAAATAAACTGTTAACATTAAGACAAAAATTAAAATGAGTTCTACAATTTACATATTCATTAAAGAAAATTAGTAGATGTATCAAGACAGACAAAAAAAGGAAAAGAAAATTTACATAAGTATTAAAAGATATCTTTAGACAGGGTTTCCCACTCAATTTCAGAAAGAAAAAGAAAAATCCTGGAATTTTCCAGGTACATCAGGTAAATTTCAAATTCAGTCCACATTTTATCTATTTCCTGCAGTTTCTCATCAGAAAACTTGGCTTTTTTACATGAAATGCCAAACATTAGATTTTGTGAGCAAAAAAAAAAAAAAAATCATTGAGGATGGAAGCATGTCAGTTTGACTAAAATGTGAAATTTTTACAATAAATAATTGTAATAGATGTTAGAATTTGTTATTGACAATTCAATTCCAGGTTTTCCTGCTCTCCCAGACCTGTGGGAGCCCCGATACATGGAATTAATAAGTGAGCTTTTTATCATACTTAATTTAGAAAGTTTTTAAAAATAAACTCTGAGCATCTCAAGTGGAAGATTTTGCATATCCCCCCTCGAGATGATGGCCAGAAAACTCCATGTGATGCCGACAATCATCCCTTTCACAGTGCATGATGCTATAGACAATTACCAGTTGCGATATTTCAAAGCTGTGTGGAATTTTGTTTTCATTAAATTTATATCAAAATTCAAATTTTAAGGAGAAAATTGGAGCTGACAAGAGCAATTTTATCATTTTTTGGGGAGTTGGGGTCAGTTGGTATGCGTGAAATAAGCTTGCCACAAAGAGAAAAAATAGATTACCTGAATTTGCAGAATTTGTATTTACTTGAATCTGTATTTACATGCCTCATGAGTGAACTTAAGATATATCCAATTTAGCAATTTCAATATATAATACAGCACATCTCTAATATTTCATTAAATGAAGAATAAAAATAGATTATGAGGAGGCAAGTAATAACAAACTGACCTCTTCAACTTCTTTGGTTACATATGCTGCAACTTTAAAGGAGCTTAAATAGTCATTAGCCCAGAGCTCTTTTTGTTCAATACCTTCTTGAGTTCTATCCAAAAGCTCATCAATTGCTTTGTTGTCATAATGGATTGTATCATCTAAAAAGTTTGAAAATAAGCATAATTAAAAAAAAAAAAAAAAAAAAAAAAAGATTTGAATCAAAACGAAAAACATCATTAACAAAAAAAAAATCTATCGTTAACTAAATATGCACTATTATATCTAACACGTAGAAAAGCTATGACCAAATAATGAATAAAAAAATACTGAAATGGCAGAGTGATGCAGATTTGTCAGAATTTTTTTTATATTAATGAACACATAAAGATAATACATAATAAAAAAATACAACTCAAAAAATAATGAGCTCAGCAAAAACACTTAAAAACTAAAGTCTAGAAGAAAAAAATTCAATACACAAATTTAGAAAATTTATTTAAAATCAGGGTTAGGTAATGATAAAACTAATTGAAAGCGTTAAAAGCGATGAGTCTAACAATGATGCTTAGGAAAACATACCTGTGGGTTAATAAAAATAGTCTAATAAATACTTATGTTTTGAGTAGGAATTTTAGCTCAAAATATAGCCTTACTTAAACTTAAATTAGTGTAAAATTTTTAGTCAAAAATTTTCTTAACATAGAACTTCCAGCTGCTTTTTTATTAGCATAGAGTGATCTATACATAAAACCAATTGAAATGCACCGGTAATTGTAAAATTACATATGAAGCATTTTCATACCTTTTCCTTCGTCATCTTTGAAAAGATCTTCAGTACCAAACCTTAAGATATCATCAAGTTCTTGTTTAGACATAGTATTTGAACGGCTGCCTAAGCCAGGTCTCACAACCAAATGAGTAAGCATCATTTTTTTCTTAGCTACCTAAATTTTTTTAAATAACAAGAAAAAATTGATTGAACAGAAAGTAATAAAGATTCAAAACACATTATTTTAGAAGTAAATTATATTCACACCTGTGTTATTCTTTCTTCAACAGATGCTCTTGTTACAAATCTATAAATCATAACTTTATTAGCTTGACCAATCCTGTGGGCTCGACTGAAAGCCTGATAAAAAAATATATATATTTAGTTATTCAAGAATTATTACATTTTAAGTTTTACTAAAATCACAATTCATTCAACTAACCTGGATATCGTTGTGAGGGTTCCAATCAGAATCATAAATAATAACAGTATCAGCTGTAGCCAAATTTATACCTAAACCACCCGCTCTTGTGGATAGCAAAAATGCAAAATGGGGTGATCCAGGAGCTAAATTGAAAAAAAAAAAAAACAATAAATGAATTAAAAATAACTATACATTTAACATATTATACAAAAATAGTCTCATACTTAAACATATTCACTCCACGTAAGTGCAACAAAGATGATTTTTTTTAAAAAATGAAGTGAGCTGCTTCATTTTTGCTTTTCATGCTTTTAAAATCTTTATGACAAAATGGTGGAATTACCCGAGACTAACATTCATACTTATGCCAAGATTCATTGATTTATATGATAACGCAAATCTCGATTTGCACTAACTCATAAAAAAATCACTTATTGGAATATTTACAAAACATTTTATTAAGATTGCTTAATTTTTTTTAAAATTTTCTTTAAATATTTTGCTGTATTAATTAATTATAATTACAGCTCCTGCTGTTGTAAAAGAAAATCTCATCTTTTGAAATGATGTTAGTGAAAATTAAATATAATTTTAAAAAATTTTGAGAGCTATAAAAATACTGAATATGGATTTATTTTTACAAGAATTATGATAATAAGTAGGCCTAGCATTTTTAAAAATTGGAGATATAGTTCAGGTGCCATGTAGATTAAGAAATAAAGAAATAAAATAAGTTAATTTAAACAAAGGAGAAAAATTTTAAGGGGTAGTTTGATTACTAACTAACCATTAAAACGATCAATAGCTTCCTGCCTTTGACTACCAGTGATACCACCATCAATTCTTTCATATTTGTAACCTTCGGCTTCCAAAAAGTCTTCCAGGATGTCCAACATTTTTGTCATCTATATAAAAAAAATACAATATTTTAAAAAAAGTATGTAAATATGCACAAGTGCCAACACAAAAAGAAAAAAAAATTCAGTAGATAAGTAGTAAACATTGATTGCACTGTTTCGAATCTCTGTAGCAACACCTTCATATGTAAACTTGCACTGAAGTAACATATTGATGTTATTTCAGAGGAAGGGAACAAATTTGCTTTAATCTTAAATGTACTTTATTTCTTAGAGAAAATAAAAGAGCACTAAACACTTAACACAACTGCCAATATTTGATAATTTCCTAGTATTTCTAAAATTGAATAATCTTGCTGACAAAAAAAGTTAAAGGTTAGAAGAATAAACTTAAAAAATGGTTTAGAATAACAAACTAGCTCACATAAATATACTATGCTATATTTTGTCATATCTAATTTTCAATATTGAATTTCCTTCAGACAATTGTTATAAAGAATTCTTTCAAAAATAGGTGCTCAACCATTTTTAGAGAAAACTTAATAACTATGAGGCTCACTTTAAATAAATTAATTTAAATCTGCAGCAAACAATAAATAGTATATGAAAGTTAACTGAAAAGAATTTCTTCAGCCACTTTCTAGTTTCCCGGAAACTTTGAGAGGAGGTGGAATTTAGTGAAATTCTACTAAAAAATTCAGTAAACTGTAGTAAACTTCTCTAGCTGGTAATATGAAAAGTGAAAAAGATAATGACAGTCATTAGCAAATTACTATACATTTAATTTTATTGTCCTAAAATTACAGTGAAAGTGGATTTCCATTTTTGGATAATATATATATAACAAATATGCAATTGACTTTCCATCATTATTGTTAGTCACCAGAAAGAAAAATAAGAAAAAATTGGCACCGATATGATCATTAACTTAACATTTGGTAAGATGATAAAAGGGGGGGGGGGATTTCTTTACATTTCTCGATTAAAATCATTGCATTTGATATCTTTTTCAATAGTATTTTTTAAGTCATAAAATTAAGATACTTTGACCAGATCTTAATGTCAATTGACCAAAACTTATGTCTAATTTTTCTGAAAATAAATCTTATTACTGAATTAGGTATGAAAGAATGAAGCCCTTTCTAGTCAAACAGCAGCTGTATCAAATATCTAAGTCATTGGAAATTAATTTTAACATACTTTACAGAGAAGATGTAAAAAAAAAATATATTGTCAACTTTAACAATAAGAAACACTTATTATACAGTAGTGAATAAGAAGTACAATAAATTTTGACTGAAAACATTAACTCTTACAGATCAATAATTCATTAAAAGTTTTAAACACAAACTTCATCCTCTATTTTTCTTTTAGGGAAATAATATAAATTTTATTGGATTGTGCAATTTTATTGTTACTCAGCACACTCTAAAAACAAAAACAAAACAAAAACTGCTAAGAAATTAATGCAAAGAAAAAAAATTTAAGCACCAAATATACTAACCTGAGAAAAAATTAGAACTCTATGACCTTCATTGTTTAATTTTCTTAACATTTTTGATAGAAGTAGGAGCTTTCCACAAGCTTTTATTAAAGCTGATCCCTCATAAGCTCCATTTGGAAGTTTTGGAGCTTCCTACAGCAACAAATAATTTTTTACTATAACATCAATTTGAAAAAAAAAAACACAGAATACATTGAAAATTATAATGTTACCTGAGCAGCCGCAGGGAATAAGTAAGGATGATTACAGCATTTTTTCAAGTCCATCATGATGTTTAACAGAGAGACTTGATGTCCACCACCCTTAGCATTTAAGGCTTCAAAGTTTCGTGTTAAAATAAATTTATAGTATTTCCTGTAACACAAAGGGAAAATATATTACTTAAAAATATCATATTAAGACATTGATGGTTTCAATATACATAATAGATTAATTAATTCTATTATATATGTATTAAGTAGAATTAATAATGTATGGGATATTTTGTTTAAAATAACTTGACAAAACATACAATGCTTGAAGTAAAAAGCATTTAATCATAAAAATGTCCCCCATTTTATTTTTTTTCAAGACAATAATTACTAATGAAAAAAATTAATACACAGTATTAAAAAAAAAAGTGGACAAGGGATTATACACATTGTTCATCAAAACTTACTTTTGCATTGAGGCTAAATCTACTCGAACGATGAATTCGCTTTTGGCTGGTATATTCTAGAAAAGGAAACAAAGAAGAGTATTATTAGGTTTACTTGTGATAAGACAAGAAATATCTTAAAAAATTGAGACCAATTGAAAGCCCAAAGCACGATAAAATGCTAGGAAAAATATGGTTTGCAAAATGAAATAAATGAAAATTATTTAGTAAAGCTTAACACCCATTGAAATAATATTATAAAACTAACAAAGATGTACTTTATATAGCAAAAATGTGCAAAATGACTGAGGAGTTAATCAGCATTTTATCAATAATCAACAAAAACCAAATTACTTTTTTTAGCGCCTCTTTAGCAGTTTACAAAATGTAGATACTATTACCAAAAAGCTGCACAAGCCAAATATTTCTCCCCATTATTAGAGTCATCTATTTATTCAAAAGGATAAGCTCATACAATGAAAGGTTAAAAAGATAGCCTTTGGTAACCAAAAAAAAACAATGCAATTTTGTACAAGTTATGATTCGTAATCAATAAAAAAATTATAACTAAGATATATTCTTTAAAAAAATCATAGTACAAATTCTGTACATTTAGTAAGTTATGTGACATTTCGGATTACTTATTTCTTGATGCTTAAGTAAAGTTTTTATTGGTTATGAAATATTCCAGTAATCTACTTTATTGCTTTTTAATAAGACACAACTAACACAGCTATTTTTTCTGAAAAAAAATAATAGTAATAAATAACAATAAATAACCTTTAGGACATCAGCTTTCAACCTTCTCAATAAATGGCAACCAAGCAAATCGTGCAATTTTTTAACCTGCTCTTCCTTTGCTAAATCGGCAAACTCATTCAGAAAACCTTGAAGGTCACTAAAATTAAAGGATACAAAACTTAGAATACATATTTCCTTTATTGATATTTCTATAATAAAAACAGACAACGGAGAACAGTCTTAACAAAATCGAATGGTTCAAGAGAGACAAGCTAGTGAAAATTGTTATATGCAAGTTAGAGAATTTTGCTTGTATTTAAATAAATGTTATAAAATCTTTAAAGGGCGTGAAAAGTTCTAACACTTTAATTACAAAGGAAATAACAAATATTATAAAGGAGAGTGAAAATAATAATTTCCTTCAAGTTGAATTATTATATTGCGGTATTGTTGGAACAAACTAAGAGAACTAGTTTGAAATAAATACACAGAACAAATTAGATGCAAAGTAATTCAAATTTAATTAGATAGGAGCAAATTGACATACGAGCAAGGTTACGGAATGAATTAAACTCTTATCTCGAGGTATCACTGTATTGGAAAACACGAAATTTATGTATAAATAATGACTGCATATTAATAACTATCTTTTGAAGTGAAAAATGAAACTATGGCGTAAATAATTATCTTTTAACTTTACGTTTTTTTCCCCACTAGGATTTATTTTATGTCATTTAGCAGACATCTACTATTTTATAGAAATCTTGAAGACACCATGTTTAATTTTTTATAGAAGGATCGAAAACACTTACTTGAAATTAGCTGCACTCAAAAAATTTAACAAATGGAAAAGTTCTTCTAAATTGTTTTGTAAAGGTGTTCCGGTAAGCAACAATTTGTAATTGATTTTGTATCCATTTAAAATTCTAAAAAACTAGAAAGAAAAAAACAAAAATTAGGGCAACATAACACAATTTTTTAAACATGTTAAACATATTCAAGAACATGCAAACCTTTGATTGATTGTTTTTCAGTCGATGAGCTTCGTCAACTACAAGAACTTGCCAGTCAATAGAACCAAGCATCGTTGTGTCGATGCAGATCAGCTCGTATGATGTAAGCAAAACGTGAAACTTTATTTGGACATCTTTCTGCAATTCAGATAGAATATTTTTTTAAATTTTAGGTTAATAATTATCAAACTAACAATTAATATTTTAAATCAGACATTAATTTTGAACATTATGCAAGCATAAAAATATAATGAAAGAACTATATTTATAGATTTGCAGAAACATAATGAACTAGAAAAGATTTATTGCAATTATCTATTTATAAAACCAAGTATTGTAATTAGAACTTTAACTATTAATTACAATTTAATACATACAATCCAAAATTACTAAAAAAATTATTAAAAAGTTCTTACTATGAAAATTATTAAAAATAAAAAAATATGGTAAAATTGTAAAAATTTTAGTCTTATTTTTGAATGTTTTTAAGGAAACATTAGACAGGTTATAAGAGACTTATCTTTAAATATTAGTTAACTACAGTTGTGCAAAGAATATGAGAATTTTATTTTTACTTTGAGATTTTAATTTCAAAAATAATCTTAAGGTTTTGTTGTAATAGCTCGAAATATTAAATCAGGAAATCGGACTTTACAAAAATTGACTTGCTTAAAACTTGATATAATTTATTTTTAATTATGATTTGACCTTTTTCACTTATTGTAAAAGAAATATTTAACAAGAACAATATAAGATTTATACTATTTAAACTTTAATTCCTAAGATTAAATATTGAATTGAGTAGAATTTCATTTATCTGAATCGCCCATGATCCAAATTTTATCATTAGGATTATAATTGAAGCTACCTTAGATCAATGGTACAAAAAACTAAAGCTAATTGGTGACCATCAAATTTTAAATCCAAGAATCGCATGTAAGAATAGAAGTTACTTGATTAAAATCATGCTACAAGTTTAAACATTGTTATTAAATGATGGTTGAAGAGCTTTATTTCTTAATTTTAATTGTTTTCATTTTTGTTAATACTGAAGTGCTTTGTTTCTAATCTTTTCAGTATGCAACGAAAAAAATTTTTTAAGTTCAACCATCTTTTGATTTTAATTTTTCGAAAACTAATAAGCTTTAAACAAACTTTGTTTCTTTGGCAAGAAATAACCTTTTACCTAATTGTTCAATCAATCCAAATATGGTATGACACCAATGAACAGTTATAATAATGATGAAGCAGTACAAATATTACAACCACAGGCTATTTAAAGAAATTTACCTATTTATAATTATTCGGGTTATTTAAAGTATCTTTTATAATAAAAAAAAGCTTACCTTTATGCGGGATACTTTTCCGCTAACTTTGCTACTGCGTACAGCACCCTCTTCTAGAGAAAATTCATGTTCCCTAATAACTGCTCTGCTGTCTTTGTCACCAATATATGTGACAACATAAAAGTCTGGGGCCCAGGTTTCAAACTCTCTCTCCCAATTGATTATAGTAGAAAGAGGCGCACTTACTAAAAATGGTCCCCGACAGTGCCCCTGAAATACAATTTTTTTTATCAGTTTAGAAAAGCTAAGGGACAAAATAATAGATTAATGAACAACGAAAAAAATAAATTATGAGTACTCTTGTTAGTTAAATTTAAAAATGACAAAAACATTGATCAGATGTAAAAATTCTACAACTCTACAGAGCAGCAAATAAATCTTTAAAATTGAATCAAGATATTAAGAATTAAAGTTAACAGAAATAGATATAACAAATATTTTATTTGATAAAAAGATTGCTAATTGTTACTAAAAATCTGTAATCTAGTACACGAAAGTCTAAAAATGTCATCACTGTCATCAACATATTAGAATCATTTAAAGTTGCCCAGTTTCATTGCTTACCTTGAGTTTGAACAGTAACTTTTTCATATAAAGTGCTGTCAATTTTATAGAAAAATGTCACAATGAATCACTAAATGGAAAGCTTACAACAGCTTGCAGCAAACTAATTTAAATTGCATATGTGATTATTTAATGTTTTTATGTGATGACATTGAAATTATGCTAGATTTGAACATAGGAACTATTACTGGAAAAGTAACATCACTATGGATTTTCCCAAGAATGTAATAAAAACATTTAACTTATGGATTGAAGATATTTCCTCAGGTTTATCAACAGTTTACTTCATTAGTGTGAACCAACTAAAATTGACAAACATTACTCAAGTGTCCATTTAAGTAATGCTTGCACATCTGCCAACATTTGAGAAATAAAATAATCCAGAAGACAAGGGAACTCTTAGATCAAGTATTCGGAGAAATTTGCTTCTTGGAAGACTTTTTTTATGGAACTAACCCACATTTGTGTTACATGGAGAGGAAAACTGCAAAAACCTTTCACGGTTAGCATGACTACAAGGGGCCTCTAACCCTTGATCTGTCTACCACTGAGGATATTTCACGTCAGCACTGTGGCCGGTGCAAGCCGCATGCGGAATTCGTACCGACCAGTCATCACTGGGATTTGAACCTGGGTTTACCTCATTGGAAAGCGAACTCTCTATCCCCTGAGCCATTACGACTCGACTTAAACAATTAACATTCAACATACTGCAGTACTGGCAATTGCACCATCTGTTGAGGAATAAGAGAAGTATTTTTGCCATCAATGGATATTTTATCACTTATTTTCCTTTCCCCCCTTTTTTTTTGAATTTCTGCAACAAATACGGAGAAATTTTAGTATATACAAGTAAACAGGAGATAGCTGTAAAATACAGGAGTCTTTATTGAAAAACAGGAGACTTGGCAGGCATATGCTTGACATTTAAAATAATTTTATAACAAATTATGAAACTTTAAGGGTCATAATTATACATAATTGTGACATTTTATTTCTCTCTTATGTGCTTTTTAGATATTAAAGAATGGTAGGGCAATGCTTACAGGCAAACTTTTCTTCCTACTTCATTTAAAATTTGAATTACATATAATTTTCTTTAATTTTAACTCATTATATGTTTATTAAAAAAAACACCTAATAAAATAGTAGGATGTTAAGAATTAACATAATACTTACTTCTTTATAAAGGGAGTATAAAAATACTATAGTCTGTATAGTTTTTCCCAGACCCATTTCATCAGCTAATATAGTGTCTGTACCATTAGCCCAAGAAAATCTTAACCAGTTAACACCTTCTAACTGATAGGGATGAAGTTCATTACCAGTTGCATCAATAAAGGATGGCTGTTTTTCGTATTTCTTTTTGGGCTAAAAAAATTAATTCAATACATTTGAATAACATCTCGATAATACATTTTCAATTATATGTAATGCAAAAGCAAAACAATCATTTGAACAGGGATACAATAAATGAACTACCAAACCATTACTAAAGGGTTAGACAACAATGAAAGCATAATCTGACAAGGAATGTTCATAAAATGACAATCTGACAATTCAATGTTTTGCAAGCACGCAATTAAAATATAAATGAATTCTAAGTCTTTTAAAAAATATGTTGCGTTTGAAGTTTAATTAATAAAATTTGTTTTGTTAGCAATACATTTTTACCTACGAAATATGGCTAAATTATCATAAAACTAAGTTAATCATCATTTAGATTTAAAAATATCTTCGTCACGAAATAATAGTTTTCATGTAGAGTGTTCAAGCTTTTTTTTTAAAAAAAAAAATGAATACTTAGCATCCAATGAACAAGAAAAAGCTGACAACATCAAAAAACCTAACCTATTTTAGGTGTGGATTAAATAATTGTTTCGGAAAACATAAGTTATTAGCACCTAAATGAATTATTGTTTGCTATATATGAGAACATATCTTTTGTACGAAAAACACACCGGCTAGGAAAAGGATTACTGGTGCAAACTAATATTCCAAAACAAAATTTGCATGTTAGGAAATTAAATATAACATTCTTATTTACAAAATCTAATGGAATTCCGAGAAAAACTAAAAACTTCAAAAAAAATTAGTATTTTTCAAAATAACAAAGCATTAATTGTAATTCAAACATTGTCTTTTAAACTAATAGCTGAATATTTCAATTTTATAGTCTAATGTCATTAATAAGTTATTCGGTCTCTTTCATGACACCGAGCTTTAAATTTCTTTAACTTTTTTAATATAATTTAACAGTTAGTGGTTGTTAATAGTTTTAACGATTTAATAATTCTTCTATTGATATTTTAAACATTTCTTTCAGAAAATTAAACTACAGCAAAAAGTTCAAATCTTAAGGAACATTCCTACTGAATGTGGTTTGATGATTCTAACTTTAAATGCTCCAATCAATATATAAATTTCGTATTTCGATAAAAAGTGACAACAAAAAAAATATTGTTGTTGCAGTGTTGGAAAATATTCTGTATTAAAATGAAGTGCTTTCGAAACATTTGACTTGTAAACAAAATAAATTTATAACAAAAAGAGAAAGAAAGAATAAATCTACTCTTCTCTTAAGATGTAATTCAATTAAACTTAATCAGCACAGTTAGGAGCGGGCTCTAAAAACTCCATGCTGGGAAACAGTCCCACTGCCTTGCTAATATTATAAGAGTAATAAAATACTATTTAAACACCGCATTAGTTTATACTGCTTAAATTATCATACTCAAAGAGGTCGCTTTTCACCAAATAAAACTTGAAAAGAAAGAAAAGCACTTATAATTATTTCCAAAATAAAACAAGCTCATAAATAAATTAGTGGACTAACCACTCAATTAATGCAAAAAAAGATAAAACTCACAAGCACACAAATGCACTATCACTGAGCAAGCTAATCAATTAAGCAAATCAATAACTTAGCAACCAGCAAAAAATGTATGAAGAAAACATCTAAATTCCTAATTGAATATTATATCTAAGAGGTAATAAATATATTTACCTGAGTTTTAATTACTTCCTCCTGCAGTAAAGCAAGAGTAAACATAAAATTAAAATTAGTACACTAGAAATCTTTGGAATAAACCAGATAACCCATATAACTAAACCAGACTAAACGGATGGATAACAGCAATCACCACTTACGTTAATCACACAAGTAAGAAAAATGAAAACATTCTCCTTCATTCTTCATTTCTATGGTTAATGTAAATGGCATTTACTGTTTTAGTAAAATTTGAAGCAATTTACAATATTTATACATTAAGAATTTAATCAAAATGTCTTTAGAGATACTATGTTTAATTACTCCACACACAAATCATTAAGAAAACTTAATACCAGGAAATAAAAAAGGTTGAAAATTATGTGAACTTAGATCAGATATTCAAAAGTCAAAGAAATTTTCATATCTGATTTAAACTCTAAAAAAATGAAGAATTTTAAGATAAAATCCAAATAGTAAATTATTAATTATTTGCATTAAAAATATATATGTAAAGAAGTTCATAAGTCTAATGCTAGGACAAATGTATTAAATTTCACAAAAAATAATTTATATAAAATTTAAGTCTAAATGAAAAAGAAAAACACTATGGACTATAGTTACAGAATTCTAAATTTAAGATTTCACAAAAAAAAAAAATTAAAAAAATAATGACTTTTCCCACAAATTAACATTTGAATATGGGCAGAGTAAAGTATACTTTGTCTAAGCCAGTTGTGCTTTAATTAAATAAAAGAAAAAAAGCAGAAAGATTTGCAACTTTTAAATCAACATTAGTTTAACACTCATTATTAAGACTCATAAAAGATCTCTTATAGTTATAACTTAACTACATTAAAAGGAGTCTAGTCTGCATTAAGCCTTCTTTTCTTCCTTCATAAGATCGCGGTAATTACAGTTTCTACGAACTTAAGTTAATAGGAAACTATTTACTCATTTATAGATTTATGCATTCATATGATAACAAATTTAGAAAATAAAAAATTCCACTTAAGGGTTTTGTTTACATAAATGTGGGTAACAGAAAGGCTAACACGAGATAAAGAAAAAAAGGTAATGAATGCGTTCTTTACCTTATCATTTCTCAACAAGTTTATTTGTAGTTATATCAACACAGAATTTAATGACTCAGTTACTATAATAAGCACAGAAGTTTACAGCCAATTCTTTACAGTCAGTAAAATTTTAAAAATCTCACCCACCTTCCTATCAAAAACCAAGATAGTCTTAAAATCAAATTAATTTTAGGTAATAAATTAAATCATTCATTTTTATAAATCAATCTCAATCCTTAAATGTTTCAATATGACTAAAAAAGGGGATTCTATAAAAGGTATAAGTGAGTAAAAATTAAATTTCAGGCAAAAGGTCTTTCTTGTAGAAAACCAGACTTTTTCGTTTTTTTTGGAAAAAAGAACAATTGTATGTGTTAAAATCCCCCCCCCTAACAATTATAAAATTAACATATTGGTTCAGTCTAACTTCAAACGTAAATCCATGATAATAATTCTATTATCTACCTAAATACCCATATTGTTTAACCTATTTATGTGACAACTCATATTTTTGAATGGTTGTAAATAAAATATTTGATTGAGTTTTAATGAATTTAACTTGCAAGGATTACGTGAATAAGGCTCGGTCATTAAACCTCCTTCCTAAATACTTTTTTTTCCTAAGAAGTTAAAAAACACTTGTAGTTGAAAACCACATTTATTGACATTGTACACAATTTTATTGACATTTAACTTTTTTTTGACATAGAGCTATCAATTGAAAGAGTAAAAACTTCTACTTTATTAAATGTTTGAAAAAATATTTCTTTGCTGCAATGATCAAAGATGTAAGCAAAAATACAAAGAAACTCACACATGTGTAGCTAAGTGTTAAGATGAATGATTTTATACCATAACAAAATAAGATAAATACTAAATTTGGCCTTATTAATGGGGGCTAGCATTTAAGCCGTAGATAACTTTCGTCTCTCATTTCAATTTCATATTTAAGTTTTGATAATATTTGCCTATACATTAAAAATTAGAGATTTTATAAATTAGTTTTTCAACTATGCTTTTCTTCTTCTTAGTATTATCTGAATAATTCATTTCACAAAGCTTTCCTTTAAAATCTTGAAAAATAAATAAAAACTAAAAGGAATAATGGAAATTAAATCCATCAAATTATGCAACCTTTTTTATGGAGTAATTAAATAAGATCATTGAAAAATCAGACATATCTCTTCAGATATTTCAGCATAACATGAGTATTTACTTACATCTACAGTGGGCTTATCGGGAGGAGGAGTCATGCGATTTCCAGTGTCATCTCTAACATCCTTAGCTCGCTTGCTTTTGCTGCTTTTTCCTTTACTAAATTTTTTACCCTGATTTTCAATGACGCTTCTAAAAAATAATTATATAATTTCAAACGCATGTACTCTATAAAAAAATTTATTAAAAGCAAATTTTACATTGAATTGCCAAACTTTGCCTTTTATCAAAAAATCAAGCGAGTATATTAACTGAAAGCTGAAGTTTTTCTAAAGAAATTGCTAATGTCAGCATCATATTCTTCAAGCATTTAAATTTATTTTTTTTCTATTATTATTTATACATTTTCGAAAGCTATTGCTTTACAAGTTTCAAAAAACTTTGAAGAATCGGTATCAGCATGTTAACACTTAGTTGAGTGAACAAATTTAATTGATAAATTAGATAGCAATTGTGCATTTTTCAAAAGCTACAACTAACTATTGCCTAACTGGAAAATCTCTCCAAATTTAATTGATAAATTAGTTGTAATTGAAAAGTGCACAAATGCTAGCTAACTATTGCCAAACTGGAAAATCTCTCCGATCAGTCAGCAAAATATTAAGATAGCATGAAAATGCTTGTAGTTTGCTTTCTGCAGCTGCTCATGCAAGACATTTCCCTTTATCACTAAAAATTTTTCGTAATTAATACTTTGATTTAGAAAAAATGAGAAAAAATCTTGTGCAAGTCTTGCAAATATAAAATTTATTTAAAATTTTTTTTTTTTTTTTTTTTTTGTTATTCAGAAGAAGGAGATTCAAAATAATTTAAAAAAAAAAACACTTTTATTGAATATTTGAAAAGTTTTAAAAAAAATTTATTTTAACTGAACACTAGGATTGGGCGAAATTGAAATTTTAATGTTGCAATGTGTCGTCACTCTAACATCGCAATGTTTTGTATTTGATATTACGTAATTCAAAATCCTTATTTTTTGATTAATTGATTAAGGCAATTATATTTTTGAAATAAACTCAATCCTCAGTTACTTTACAAGAAATGTTATAAACTTATCTAGTAATCAACAATAAACTGTACTTTTTTAAAATCAATAAATCACATCAGTGGCATAACACATTGAAAATAAAAAATAAATAAAATAGAAAATAAGGTGGAATTGTGCAAAAGGGAGACAAGCAGCAAAACTTAGCCTGCCACAGCTTATGTCATTAAATAAGTAATTGTATATGTAAAATCAACATAGAAATGAACACTGTACCAGTATTCATAAAAGAAAAGAAAAAAAACTTTGCTGATGAATTCTGGTAGATTGAAAAGTTAGGAACAGCTGAATCAAAAATCACGTAAATTCCGAGCTGAAGAGTAGAGTCAGGTGCATCTACGCTACCCAAAAAATAAACTACATTTTGTTTAATGCAACAAAATTAAATTATTACAAAGAGAAAAAATTACTATTATTTCCTTAACCCCTTGACATATGAAGGCGTTTGAGAGACGTCATTTGCTTCTTATGTCAAAACAATAATTGATGTGTCTCAGACGTTTTCAACACACAGATGCTATTTTGCTCCGGACAGCATATAAATATTTTAGATTCTTGGATTAATAAATTCAATTTAGTAGGATTTTTATCCACCACTATTTCTAAATAATTAGCAAGTTTACATAATTCACCACTTTATAGTAGTAATGTCATGCTATACCTTTCAAAAAGCAAGCAAAAATAGTCAAATATTTTAAAAATTTTGTTTGTAGTTATATAATGTTTTTTTAAATTATTTTGTCAAGTCCAGAGCAGTTGGCATCTCTATCAACATTCCGTTGCGAGTTGTTGTCAGTGCAATCAAAGATCATTTCTATATCAAGAAATTAATAATTCTGCATAGTTTAGAGTTTTAAAATGATATGTCAAGGGGTTAGATTAACTAGGCTAGAAATTTACAGAACAAGAGAGAATTTTAAGGAAAAGCCTTACCTTAAATCCCAGTAGTAGTTTACAGCCTTTTGAAAATCAGGGATGTCAAAACTCTCAGTTATCGCTCCATCTTCCCATGTAGATTGGTCGTAAGGTAGATCACGCCACTTCACAAAATAGTTAATTTTTCCATCCCTCAGTGTTCTACAGGAGTAAAAATCAAACATCAAACACATTGTAAGCAAGTTATCGAAAACAAACCTCGTCAACCTATGGCAACTTACTTATGGTTGATGATTTTGTGAACTTGTAACCACTCAGGACGAATACCATAACGATAAAATCTTTCTTCTAAGTTGTACAAATTATCTGGAGAGTTTCGATCTCCATTCTTTTCTGTATCTAAACCACTGCTTCCATCATCTAAAGCAGGAGGCTCGTCCATGTCATTTTTGCGTGCATAACATCGAAACATTGCAGGATGGAAATAATCCAACTAAAAATAAAGTTACAAAATGTTCAAAATAATGAAAATGATTTATTTTATATAGAAAACTCACAATGACGACTAAGCTAATATATTTGAATAAACTGTAGCAAGGTGAAACCATATGGTAGAGTTTTAGATCTTAAACTTCATTAAACATGCTAAATTTCTAACTAACTCCACGTAAAAAGAGCCTAAAAGCTAGCTATAAGAATTTTCGTATTTTCACAGGAGAAAGATTTACTGTGGTTAACTAAATTGTTTTGCTTACTTTACTTTATTATCATTGAGCCATTAGATTAGAAAAATGGATGGTAAGCTTTAGCACAGAACAATCTTTTTAAAATAATCTAAATAAATATCTTTTACTGACCAGTGTCTTTTCCTTCCAATTAATTTTAATATAAAATACTTGTTTTAAATAAATTACTTAAATTTTAAAACTTCAAATAGTAAAATCCATGCACCTGAGGGTATTTTTTTTAAATAAGTTAGAATAATCTGAGTTAGAAACTCATCAAAATCAGGGTTCGTTGATTTAAATCAGCTTGATTTAAACGATTCTTTTCTTAGTATTAAAATTTAATTTAAATAAATTGCTGCAGTAATTAATTTTAGTTAACGAAATTACTTTCTTGGTGTGTGTTAAATTCCAACACATTTGAAATTACATTTTTAAAAATGTTTTGATCCTTGAGATTGAAAGTACAGATTAAAGTAAACATTTAATGCTGTCTTAATATAGACTTGCATAGCTGTAGAAAGTAATTAATAAANAGAGTACATACATTTTATTAGTCTACCCCCCTTTTTCATAAAAATTAAAATAATCATGTTTTAAATAAAATTAAATATTTATTTAAAATAATTTATTCCTTTAAATTATTGAAACAATAACACCCAAATTTATCTTCGAATCAATAAATAAAACAATCTAAGTCAAATTTAAATTTGGTGTATGCTTATAACGCACATACTTTGTATAATACCTCCCCCCCATCGAACTAAATAGCAACCTCCCCCCTTCGGGATATAAGTACTTTTTGAACGCCCCCTTATCACATTTATATATATAAAAAGAAACTAACAATTGTCATAAGAAGTCATTAATTCTATAGCTTACTTGTACTTCAGATATCCAAGAGCAATGCCAGTAGGATAAATCGTGGTATTTAACAAAAAATTCTCGATGTTTTTTAACGGGTGGTTTTTTTGAAGTAGATGGTTGAGGAGCGGGCTCTTCTTTCTCTTCCTCTTCTTTCTTTTCTTCTTCAACTTTAACTTCAGCCCATCTCCAGGTCAGTATTTTAGCTACTCTTCCTTTCAATGGTTCAGCCTATAGAAAAGATTTTCTTAAAACAATTTCAGCAATAACTTGTTTTACTTAAAAAATACTTCACCTGAAATTAGGTTAGGTTGTAGAATATTGGAGTAATTTGGCATTGTTTTTGAAAACCGTAGCACTAGCCATATTGAATTGAAATAGTGCTCGATTTTTTAAAACACTTTCACCATTAACTTGTTTTACTTAAAAAACACTTCACCTGAAATTAGGTTAGGTTGTAGAATAATTTGGCATCGTTCCTTCAAGCTGTAACACTAGCCATATTGAATTGAAATAGTGCTAGAATTTGCTTAATCAGCTACCCTAAAATGTAATATTTAATCCTAAATTCTGTATAGATATGATTTAATTGAGTTATTTTATCATTTTAAATAGGGTAGGAACAAAATAATCACAATTTTGAAGTTATTTATAAAGATATTATTTCAACTTATCTTTGATACAATTACATACATGAAAAATAAACAGAGACTCACATTATTAGGAGTGTCCTATATAGAGACAAAGTCAAAAATATAAAAAATATAGAGTATTAAAGCTATGACAACCAATTTTAAATCAATACTTTAAAATTTGATAGTTTTTTTAACTTTTTTTTTGTTTTGTTTTAAATAGAAAATTTGTTGACTATTGTCTTATTTAAAAAATAATAATTACCAGTAATGTCAAGTATAAGATGATAATATTTAAAATCATTTACAGTTGTCTTAAACTATGTAAAGTAATATATTTCCAATAAGGTCGCAATATCATAGTCTAAAAATTTATAATGAAGAGAAAAAGCTAAACTGCTTATTTCATCTATCAATGTATAATATAAAAAAAAAATTTAAATAATAAATAAAAATTACACTCTAAAAAATAATTTATTCAACTATGTAAGGAACTATGTTCTTGAAAAGGCATAAGATTTATTTTCTACTCAGAATCTCTTGCTAAAAATTATAGCAATCTAAAACTAGTTTGATTTCTTTTTAAAAACTTATTAACTTGATTTATGAATTAGTCAAACTCATAAAAGTAAAAATAATAACAGATTAATATTTTGTATCAAAATGCCAAGCTAAAAAATTATTCTTACATACAATATATAACAAACTGATTATCATTTAAGCTAGAACACGCTAATAAAAAAAAAAGCAATCAAATGAAAGAAAAATTCACTGTCTAAAAAATTTAATGGATGAAAATTGTTTAAATTAGTTTCAACAACACTCTCTTTAAAATATCATTTGTTAGGCAAAGCCAAAATAAAAAAAAATTATTAATTGTCAATAAAAAATTACATAATTGGAATTACTTATAAGATCTCTAACAGATAATAATTCATTTCAATTAAACTATTGTTTTTACAGTATTATCTAAAATAAATAATAATTACTAATTGCCAAAGCATAATCACAAATACCAGATGCTGAAAAATTGCTTTCAACTATTACTTTTACTCACTAAATTTCTCAATATTCCTTACATAATAAAATAAACAATCATTAAAAATATATACTTTCTTCCCACAAAACAAAATTAACCTGAGTCAAATACTCCCTAATCTTGATTAAGAGAAGTTTTTTTGAAGAAAAAAAAATAGACACCCAAAAACAACTGGGAACTGCAGAACTAGAAATCTTTTTGAAGCGAGAGAAAAGGTAAATAATAAGCTACTATACAATTTTAAAGCAATGTACAACAAAGCAAGTGGGGAAAAAATAAAAATTGAATAATTGTTTTTTTATATCATTAGATTCAGATATCTGATAATCTTTTGTTGAAAAAGGCAACAGCGAGGAAATTTAAACAATCTAGGTTAAAAAGAATAATTATACACTTGAAGAGAAGAATGTTTAACTATAAAAATAGAACAGCTAAAAAGGTTGATCACAGAACATTATATATCAGTACAATATTTTAAGAAAGATTTTACACATCATATATGCATGCAGAATTTCTACAAACAGACCACTATAATGTTGGCTAAGATAAATTATACTACTCTACTCAAGCGCAGTATAGATTGGAAAACCAAAATCCAAGCCCTATTTCGATCAGATCATATCCATATACGAATTTTATACACATACCTTTATCTCATCTTCAATTTTCTTTTTGACAGGGATTTCTTTCACTACAGACCCTTCCTTAAAAGTTAAATACCACATTATTATCATAAGTAGCACACAGTAAAAATATATATAGCCATAGCTTTTTGCCTCAGTTTCACTGCATGCCAATGAAGAAGTTAAGGAAAGATATTTATTCTTTACTTCAGTTTTAAAAAATTTGCTTTTTCAACACTTCAGATATCTAAACTCCCAGTTATGCTCTTTATTAGCAAGCTATGTTGTATTTAAGCTTTATAAGGGGTCAAGTTAATCACCAAATCTTTTATTTAAAGAACAAAATTTTGACACACACACAAATTTCAATCACCACACTTGCTTAAAATATAAACATATTAAGATTTGAAAATCTAATTTTTCAAAGAAATTTGTAAGAGCTTTTTTTCTTTTTTTTATGTCTTGAGCTTTTATGAGTTATTTATTAAATGTAGTTAAACTGAACTAAACTTACCTGTTTCAACTTCCAACTTAATTCAACAAATTTCAACTTAAGATTAAAAAAGCAAATTTTAAAAATATGGCAAAAATATAAAGAGTAATTATTTTTAAAGGAACGTCAAAAAGCAGGGAGGAAATAAAAAAGAAATGCCAAGAAATAAATGTTTAAGCAAATACAAAAATTAAAAAATGTCTTAACTAAGAATTTCAGTTAAAAGCATTATGCAATTAATAAAGAATATGCATTATTGTAAGAAAATAAACATTAAATGTTAATATGACCATGCATAAAATTAAAAGATATAAAACAATTACAAATCGTAAAAAAAAAAGATGTCTAGAAGTGCTTATTTACAGTGTGCAAATCAAGAGATAAAAATTATATATACTACTTCTGAAAAAAAAAATTATTATTAGACTGCAAAAACAAAAACTGCTGAAATAACTATGTACTCGTGAATATAAATAATACTTAATAATTTAATCTAAACTGAATAGTCTGTCCACAACCTGCAGATAGTCTATATTAGAATGATTTTGATGCATACGAAAACAATTTACTATTCTTACCGAACATCGTGGACAGTGCCACTCGCCATCGGGTATATTTTTAAGTGGGGGATTTAAGCAGTGTGTGTGATAAGCTGATGGGCAACTATCACAACATAGCAGCTCTCCACCATCTTTACAAACGCGACAGAATTCCATATGCTCATCTTCTTCTTGCTCTTGAATACCTTCCCCTTCCTGAAAAATATTTAATGCTTTTGTTAATCTTTATCTTTTTTAAGAGGAAGGAATGAATGAAAATAGTTTTCAAAATGCCTCACAAATCCCAAATACTAATCATTATTAATAGATATGTATGGAATTTTGAGAATTAGAATCTTAATTATGCCTCTATCAATATCATTTATTAATAGATATAAGAATGCAATTTTGAGAATTATAATCTTAAATTAAGCCTCTAAACGATTTCTTTCAAGCTAAATATTTTAAGAGATCAAGAAACAAGTAGATTTAGTGAGCATTGGAGAGGAGAGATGCTATGTTGCTACATAAATTCTTGTCTAGCATCATAAAAACACAAAATGAATAAATAAGGGTTGCTCATAGTATGCCTATAGCCTACCTGAACTGCAACATCATACCCATCCAGTTATGCTATCCTAGTTGAAATGTCTCACTCATCAAAAGCTACTGACATTTAAAAATTACAATAATTACAAAGATTTAAGCTATTGAAAGAAACAATTATACAAAAGGGTGGGAAATACAACATAGATGCTATATATTAAAGCAATGAAAAAAAATTGTATTACCTAATTTAATATTCAATTCATTTACATAGATTCAATTTCTTTTTTTAATAAAATCTAAGTAAAGATGTCAATATTGCATATCAATGAGAGACAAAAGGCAATTGGCTATCAATATTAATTTACATACTTAGCAAAAATAATTAAACAAACAAAGATATAAGAGGTACTCCATGATCACCACCCTTAAAATATAAAGAATCATTGTTAAAAATGAAGTAAATGAGTATAAATATTAGATATTGCTAACTAATATTTGAGTGAGGAAATAAAAACACTGTCCACATCAGTCAAATCACTACTATAGAAGGCAAGATAGAAAAACATTAAAACATCAATATTCAATTGAATTATATAACAGGGTGCATAGCCAAATTATACAACAAAAAATAAGCACCTTTTAAGCACTTTTCAAGCACTCAAAAAATATTTTTAAGCACTTTTAAAAAATACCATAATTAGGCAGGGTTGGAAATTTGACAGTTGACAGTTTTATTTTGTTTTAACAGTCATGTCAAAAAAAAAAAATTTGGCATTGTTTTTGACAATTGTCAAAAATTACGACATTTTGAATAATGTAAAACGAATGGCGTTTTCATACGCTACTGACTGACAATACGACAAAATATATTGGGGTTGAATTAATTGTGAAAAAACCCAATGAGCAAAGCCCCTTTAAGAGCTTTTAAAAAACGAAAATTGGAAATACGCACCTTTAAGCACTTTTTAAAAACGTTATGCACCATGTATAATTTGGAGATGCTTTGAATAATCGCTTTTCAGTTTTTCTGTCTCACTTATATCTCTCACTCAGAATATTTTTAGTGCTATCTTTCTGAGACGATTAAAAAGATTTTGATCTATTTCTTTCTTAGCTTAAAAATTTTTTTTTACCAATGTATACTTGTTTCACTTTACTTTAAAAAAGAATTCTAAAAGTTTATCTTAAGGGTGATCATTATGAAACTTCTTATATATCTACATAACAAAATGCAAACAATATAATTTGCAATGAATAAATAAAATAGAATAGATTTTTAAGAAAATGAATCCAGTAAAACTTTGTTACCTTAATGTGTTGAGAGAATGAATTTGTTATGTTGAAACAAATGTGTATATTTAATACTTTATCATTAATTAAAAAATAAGCTTGCAATTATGATTTAAATTTTATTTTTCAGGGAGCACTTCTTTCTTACTCACAATTGAGAACCTTAAAATCTAAATAAACAAGAAAACAAATGATCAGGGGTCTGTCTAGGTTTTTCTGAGAGGTAACTATTTTGTGAAAATTTAGACATAATTTGAGAAAAATTTAAAATTATATTAAAAAAATCAACACAAAAATATGGTAAAAATATGGACTTATCGCTTCTTAAGGGATACAAAAACAAAATTTTAAAAAAAAGTATTTTGTGAAACTACCGTTTTTCCTTAAGTTGAATTTGTGAAACTACCGTTTTTCCTAAAGTTGAATTTGTGAAGGTACAGCTAAACGGTAGTAAATTCGGCCTGGACAGACCCCTGGTGATAGAAAGGAAACAATCTGGTTTAAATAAATCATTTTCCGCAATTTATAAGTTTCAAAAATTCATAAGTTTCAAAAACTCGTAACTAACATCCAATTGCATCCGAAAATCTTACACCAGACAGTACATTTCTATTAATATCATATCTAAGCATTTAATTCTTTTTAATTATTATAAACTATTTAGTGTTATCTGATTAATAATTTTAAAAGTAAATGGTTTATAACAAAAAGTAACATACACAATGTGGGCAGCTCCATTTACCCTCAGGGGGTTCTTCTAAATCTGGATCTAAGCATACCAGATGGTACGCCCTGGGACAAGTGTCACACAGAATAATTTCACCACCTTGCTGGCAGACCTCACAATAGTCCTGATGGTCTGTCTGAAATTCAAAGAACACGCATTTAAAAATCACTAAAAATGTAAGTGCTCTAAAAGTATCATAATAGTTAAAATGTCTATAAAAAACTTACATAAACAATATACAGTGTTTTCATCATAGAAAAAAAATGGGTGACAATTTCTCACCCTTTCTCAAAAACAGGGTGAGATTTCAGAAAGTTAAGTGAGATTTCTAAAAACTGAAAAAATACAAATAGACTTGGAAAAAAAATCATTTCTTTTATTATAATACATTTTTAACGTCTTCTATTTTTTAAAGCATTGAATATTCCTGCTGCATCATCATAGAATTAAATCCAATTCCAAAAGGTGANAATTAATCTCTAAATCGGAGGGCACATATTTCACGAAAAATGTTTGATTCAACAGTTTAAAAGAGTAATTAGTTAAATACTATAATAGTAAATGCAGTAGTCTCTTGATAAACCAGTATCGGATTACCACGCACAACCACACAAAAAAAGACACAATTGACGTTTTGTGACCATAGTATAGTGTAAACCAACCAGATTTCTACAGATAACGATAGAGAAAATTTGAAAAGAAAGACATTAGGAAGTTGGACTATTTTTAAAGTAAATGGATTAACAAAGATTCGACATTGAAATTTTGCAAGACAAGGTGTTCAGAAAAAACAAAGAATTTCACCCATAAAGTTGTCAGCTGTTTTTTCCAATTTTTTACTAATTTTTCTTCAATATCTCATTTGTTTTTTTTGTTTTTCTTAAATAGTTAATTCTTTCTCTATCAAGCATTTTTTGAGCTTAATTTTATTTTATGATTTTTTCTTTTTTGAAGAATTAAAATTATTTTATTTCAAATTTAAAAAAAAGTCCACTAATAATTTTTTTTTTTTTTAAAAATGCCAAGCAAAAAGATTTATAATAAGAATCATTGGAGTTCATGCCACTAGGGCGACAATTGTTGCCATATGTTCTACACTGAAATCATAGGCAGGGCAACAAAATTGTCACATTGAAAAATGTTTGGAAGTTACAAAATGGTAACAAAAAATTTGTTGTACTAATTTTATTGTTTTAAGCATAGATTGGGTTTTAGTTTCCAAATTTTTAAAATGAAAAGTGTTTGGTAAAAAAAATTTTAAATGCTGAAATTTCAATTTTACACATGAGCTGTGTTTTCCATTAATGTACTGAAGGTATAATTATTAATCAATAAAACATTTTATGCTATTTTAAAATTGATGATATTTTAGATTTAACAATTTTTAAACTGAAATCTTTGATATAATATTTTATTAGTTCCTACTTACTCTGTTTTTTTCTTCCATTTATTTATTAGGTATCAGCATTTAAACCTGTAATGTTTAGTCTATTCATTAATATTATTTCAGTTTTCTTTTTTTCTCACTTATTTTAATAAATACTTATCTTCAATCAATATTGTGGGGTAATAAAACCTAACTAGTTTTTGGGTGTAATAGATGGCTTTTAATTTTTGATGTGTGTACCATACCATACATTATGCAATTGTAAAGCTAGATATATTTTTTTTATTTTTTAAATCAAGTTTGTCTGCAATTGTAAAACTAGATTTTTTTTTTTTTTCTAATCAAGTTTGTCTATCATTTTAAGCTTTTGGACCACTAAATGAATACCTAGATGGTTCCATTGGACCACCAAATTTCATTTTCATTTCAAAATCATTGAGTATTTTAATTCTTTTTCTTCCTTTAGCCTTTGAAAACATGCTCAATTTCATAGTTAGGACTACAATTATTACATGTAACTGAACATTTAACCTGAAAATGGCTATTTGAATTTTGTAAACATGAAGATCATAATACAATATAAAACATTATATAAAAATCTACAGATCACCTGTAAAATTAACTGCAGGCACAAAATAAACTTATTCCACAAAATACCACCAGTATATGAGTAATTCATTACACACATTGAATACCCTCTGATTAATCACAACACTTATTGATAGTCCACTTTTTGAAAAATCTTAAATCTATGCTTCAAAGCTTTTGGTTCAGTGATAATGTTTAATAATTGTAGTGAATTTCTCAAATAATAAAGGTTAAAATATGCGTATGAACATTTTCCATACAAGTACAGAGCATGGACACTTACCTCATATCCATCATTTTCACCCTCAGAGCCAGGAAAACTAGCCGTTGTTTTGGTTTTCTTTTTCTTTTTAGTTTTCTTAGTTTTACTTTTCTTTTTAGCAGGAGGTGGACTCATGTTTTGAGCTTCTTCTAATGCTGCTTCAAAATCAGCATCACTTTTATCACTATAACTTTCATCTTCTTCCTAAAAAAAAAGACACAAAAAAATAAAGAATATTAATAACAAATTAAAATTCCTTTTCAGCAATTTATTTTTAAAAAAATATTCTTGCTATTTAAATAGTAGAACATACTATAAATAAAAAGCATTTATTTCCACATATTTATGCTTGGTTATGAACAATAAAAAAAACAGGAGACTAGAAGTAAAAAAAATAATAAAAACATAATTAATTGAAACCGGTGAACAGAAAAAGAAAAAAAAACTTACTGAACTTTGCTTTTTTCTTTTACCAAAACTGCCAAGTTTTATTTTTAACATAGGAACTGATTTTCGGCTTTTTGACTTTTTTGGTTTGGGCGCTTTTTCCACTTCTGTAAAAAAAATTCATAAAATTTTACACAACTATTGGCATATATTTCACAGAAAAATATACAATTTCATAAAACAAACTTTACAAATATTAGCAGTAGTATAATCCTTGACACTGTATCACTCACTAATTTTTAGATCATAAATATATATAGTCCCTGCAATGAATTTTGTATTTTTACACTTTCCCTTTTGAAGTGCTTTGAAATGTTCTCTCCTCTTCAATTCCATGAATGGCAGGTGGTAAGCTTTCTTTGTAGTTTCCACATGAGACCCTTTACTTCTACACTTTTTCTTATTTTGTAACAGTAACTACCTTAAATTTTTAAACACTTGAACTTTTATTTTACCTTTTTACTTCTGTCCTAACTGTAACTTCTAATTTTTTCTAAATGCAACTTATCTTTAGCTTTTTTCTACTTAGGGGACAGTTAAATCTTAAACGCATGTATTTGATTTTTGTATCAGTTTCAGCTCCATGCTAAGCGGACTGCTTAACTTTCTTCATGTTCCCCCCTCTTGGGTGCTTGGAAAAATGACGCAAACCACATCATGTCTCACCGTTTTTTTTTTTTTTTTTNAATTTTTTTTTTTTTTTTTTTTTTGTCAAAATGAAATTTACTATATAATGCCCGCCATTGAGCTTTTCATAAATTCATCTACAGTTCTTTCAACAATAATTTTTAAAATTTTTGGCATTTCGATTTGATTGAGCCTAGAGAAAAATGACACGTTTTCATAAGTGGATTAATTAGAGTATCGTCCACCTACGATCTGATGGTTTTTGACAAACGGGCCTCGGCTTCCGACCAGATCACCACTCCTTCATGAATATTGCTGTTTTCCCTCGACACAAATTCCGGAGATCACCAATGAGATGCCTGGTCTAGTTCTTGTGCAGAGCAGATATTGATAAATGCTAAATAAAGATATTTAACTTCACCTACAAAAATGACTGGCCTATATTTTTTCCCCAACTGAACTAGAATAGGAAGAATTATGTTTTAGTGTTCTTTTTTTAGATTTGTATCATGATCATTTCATTGGGCTATTGCAGATCAACTATTCTTTTTATATACGATACGCCAAGGTTGCCAAGGATACTGCCGAGATACGCCAAGGATAATTTATTATTTTTAAAATAGTTCATTTTTTTTCACTTTTTACCCAGCAATACGACAGAATCTAAAATAACTTTAAGCATATAAACACATATATAACACACATATACAGAAATAAAAAAGTTAAGACTTGAAGTACCTTCTTTAGGCTTAGGTTTAGGGACCACTACTCTATCTTCTTCATCCAAGATGGCTTCTCGGTTGGGATTATTTTCTAGGAACTCTCTCCATTTTGCAGATATAAGAGTAACCATTTTTGATATTGCTATTTTCGGGTTAGCTTTAGCAATTATAGGTCTAATATGCTGAGAGAAAAGTTTATAATTTGTTAAAGTCTGATAATCTTCATCTGTATAATCAAGAACAACATCTTCTAAACTAAACTCTGCACATATATCAGCTGAACTTTTCTGAGCCTGGAATGGCTAAAAAGAATTAGAAAAATATCTTATTTGGAAAAATATCTTATTTGAAAAAATATCTTATTTGAAAAAATATCTTATTTGAAAAAATATCTTGGTTGAAAAAATATCTTACTTAGTTGAAAAAATATCTTACTTAGTTGAAAAAATAAAGATATTTTCCCAAATAAGACACGGATATGAAATATTAATTGTATCCATTAAAAAATAAATACAATAAAAATTATGCCACAAAAAGTACCTTTTCAACTTTGGGTTTTTTAGGCTTCCGACTTTCTGTAACATAATCACTGTCATCAGATCCCCCAACAGCAGATTTACTATCACTGTCCTGAAATAGTTTCTCTTTTAATACTTTTTCAAGTCATAAAAATATTTTTTACAAACATTTAATAACTTACTTACATAAAAATAATATGAATATATAGTATATAAATCGCCATCTCAACCAAAATTAACCAGAGTCAAACTTATGGCAAATTTTTATTAACCGCTTTTATAATCGTTAGAGCATTTATCGAAAAACTATTATTTAAAATAAATAAAATATACACCTATATCCCTTATTCTTAAGCTAAGTTATATTTTTTTTTGCACCCACAGCGTGCAAAACTGGGTGTGTAGTCCAATTTTTCAACAAAACAAAAAAGTTTTTTTGAAGTACCCCAAAAATATTTTTAAGCATTGTATTTTTATTTAAAAAAAAAATTCATATTTAGAATATGTGCAGTGAATAAATTTTTTCTTAATATTGTTGAGAGTTCCTCAAAGATGCAAAAACATTTTCAAAGCCTATACATAACCATAATAAAAGTAGTTTCAGGCAAAGAACTCTATTCTTGATTTTATTAACTGCCATAAAAAAAAATTTCCACAATTTTAAATATAAAGATGCTTATTTTATTTTTTACCTCTCCACTATCTGACATAGCCTTTTTCTTTTTCTTCTTTTTCCCTTTTTTTCGTTCGCTGTCTCCTTTGGCTTTACGTTTCTTTGCTTTTTCTTTCTTGGGTTTAGGAGGACTTTCAGCTTCTTCTATTTCTTCCTCATCTTCATCCTCCTCATCTGCTGCTGGGGCCTCATTTTCCTCAGGTGGACCATTTGAATTTTCTTCGTCAGCTTGGGGTGTATCAGGGGTTTCTTCATCCCCATCCTGATCATCTTGATCTTCTGGTAAAGTGTTATCGTCGTCACCATCATCTAGTTCATCTTCTTCAGTTCCTAAAATAACATAGGAACAGAAATTGTTAAAAACAATGATTTACAGAGTAATTGACAGTTATAAATTTTGTGTCTTTAACAAAAGAGATGACTAATTAATTGTCCAGCTGGCCAAAAAAAATAAAAAATTCTTCAGGCGTTAAAAAATAAATAAATAAAACAATATTTTAATGGGTTTATTTTACATATGTTAAAAAAAAAAGGAATTTATTTGTCAATTCCTTGTTTTCTCTTAATACTACTGTTAATTTTATAATTTCAAAATCTGAATATTTTCCAAAATTATTCCACCAGAGTTGGCACTCATTACTGGAGAGAAAAAATTCCCAGTGTTTTCCCTGCACATCACAATATACTAAGATGAAACACAAATTCACAGCACTTTTGGAGCTATATTAGGATATTGATGTTAGTTTTAGTCAGGAACAGCTCAACATAATACAATAATAAAGGAATAATAAAGCTATAATAAAGGAAATAATATAATATAGATAAACCATCATCTTTAAATATTTCACAGATTAAGCTTTGAGAAACTTGCATTTTTTTAAAAACAAAAATATGAAATAAAACTCCCACTTTCTAATGAAAAATTCAAAATTCCCTACATTTTCTTTGATATTTTAGATGATTTTTAAATCCCTTGTGGAGTGGCAACCCTATCTACCCTTTTTAAGCTAGCTAAAAGATTACACCAATGAGTCAACTTGTCATTGCACTTTCATTATCTTGCATTCAATTTATGAAACTAAGGACGATGCAAAATATTTCAAAATACAATTTCAGTTTATTCAGTAGAAATAAAATTTATTAGAGTTTATTTAGAATGCTTTACTTTACTACCATATTCAATAACATAGCCGTAGCAGAAAGAAACATTAAGGTATTTGTATGCAGGGGTCTCAGTCTAGGTTTTTCTGAGAGGTACCTATTTTGTGAAAATTTAGACATAATATACGAAAAACTAAAAATGATATTAAAAAATTAACAAAAAAACATAGTAAAAATACAGATTTATCGTTTCTTAAGGATACAAAAATAAAATTTTAAGAAAAAGTACTTTGTGAAACAACCGTTTTTCCTAAAATTGAATTTGTGAAGGTACCGCTAAACGGTAGTAAATTCAACGTAGACAGACCCCTGGTATGTTACCTAAATTTTGTAATCTCAATATCCAAAAAAAAGTATTCCTCTCCCTTTAAGAGACAGTTATAAATCTTATGTCTCTTCTTACACATAAGGCTGTCTAACTATTAATTAATATTTTGAATAAAAATAAAAAACTAAAGTTTTTTAATCTTAAATGAAAGCAAGTTCTTTTTAATTAAAAAATATTTAAAAGTACCTAATAGAATAAAGAAAAGGATTAAAGACATTAAATTGGCTGCATACATATATATATATATAAAATAGTTATGCAAAGGTATATTTTAGCATTAATTACTTGGTATAAAATAAAATATTATTCAATTTTATTTTTTATGAATATTAATGCCGTTTTTAAAATAATTAGTTTAATTAAATCATTTGAATTTTCATTCTAATGTTGTTTTTTTTAATTTCAAATAGTTCATCTGTGTAGAAAACTACCTTGGAACACAAATACTAAGACACATATTCACTAGGTTTTGGTGTCAAAATTATTGAAACTCCACTTTAAATAGTTCATTAATGAAGTAATGAGCTCTATAGCAAATGTTAGAAAAATATTTGTACGCAAGAACATTAATTAATTGATAGTGATCATTTTTTTAATGCAACAGTACCGTTAAGATAGTCTAAAATTGATCTCAAACTGTTGAGTTGCTCAGTACTCCATTGATAGAATTCAGCCAAAAATCATTAATTTATTTTTAGAATTAAACTCTAGAATTAAAAATAGAATATTGAATTTTTTTTTATAAATAAAATTTGTCCTAAGTGCACTTCATAGTATATTAATTTTTTTTTAGTTCGTTGTTTTCCCTCTTTAAAAGTAGTCTGGTACATGCATACTTTACCGAAAAATATTCTGGTTCTTTCCTTATCATAATAAGTCTGCAACTTGCTTATTAAATTAATACAGCATTAAATAAAATTAAATACAATGAAAATATTGTAAATGAATACTGACAACAGAAAAATTTCTTAAGATAACCGAAAAGTGATGTATAAAACTTAGACCAGCACTTACTTCCATTTATGCTTTTGATAGTCTAATATTTTAAAAAGAAGTTTCACTAACTTTTTATTTTAACTTGTTCAATAATTACATTAGTTCTGTTCCAATACCACGGAGCTTTTAGCAACTGAACTTTTGAGAAGTTTATCATTTGGCAGGTTTATCCTAATTGTTGAATTTTCAATTGATTCAATTCATAATTCCATGTGAATCAATATTTTAAATATTTTGTTCATAAAATTAAAATAAAATAAAAAGTTAAAATCTTAAAAATAAATAAAATTCATCAATTTGACAAACTTAAGAACATTTCTACTGCATGTGGTTTGATTATTTTACTTTAAATGCACCAATCAAATTCTCAATTTCAAAATGCACATTTAATATGAATTGTTATTGTGATAATAAAAGTGGCAAAAAGATATTGTCAGTAAACTATTGAAAATATTTTGTATTAAAAGATTTGGTAATAAAGGTTTAAATTTTCAAAGAATTTGAATTCAACATAAAATAGTCGATTTATAACAAAAAGAGAAGAAAAAAAAATATCTTGACTCTTCTCTTAAAATGAAAACTGATTTAAACTTCTACATTTGGTTTGGTCATTCTTTTCAGTTTGTTACATAGTCAGAGCTATTAGGAGCAAGTACCCAAACCAGTGTTAAGGAACTGACCCACTAAGCACTATTTAACTTATTTTAAATGTCAGAAAATGGATTTCATGATGCTATATTTATTTATTAATCATAAGCACAATTTAACTTACTTTAATGGATTATATGATGCTATATTTATCAGTCATCAATTCTTTTATTAAAAATTATTAATCATCAANCAGTTTAAATGTCAGAAAATGGATTTTATGATGCTATATTTATTTATTAATCATAAGCACAATTTAACTTACTTTAATGGATTATATGATGCTATATTTATCAGTCATCAATTCTTTTATTAAAAATTATTAATTATCAATTTTATTTCTGCAACTTATTCAAATAGATATTATTGCAGGAAAGCTATGATATCTACACATTTAAAAATTATTTGTAGAAATGCAGATTCTCCATAGTATTTAAACTTAAAAACAGAAATCTAATGAGAAAATTTTATATTTTTTAAGATAGTGCTAATTCAAGCTAAAACTATTCATGTAAATAAAAAATGTAACTTAAAGATTTTAAAAAAAGTAAAAAAGATGTTTTTGTAAAAAAAATTATAGGTTTAAACCATATTGGTTTAAATCAGCCAACCCTGCATAAAATATTCCTAATCTGCAATATACAATTATCAACTCTTCATCCACAATATTTAATAACAATTATGATCCTAAATCCTTTATGTTTAGGGTAAAAAGGCATATATTAGATGGCTTTAAAATATGATTGATATTGTCAAGTTAAACTTCGTTAATAATCATGCAATAAAGTTATATTTAAAAAATTTTAATGTTATAATATAGAATGAAATATTTTTGCTGATCATTTTAACTTGTGACGAAAACTAACACAGATTTCATGACATTGTAGATTTAAGTTTTTATTTTTTAAAAGAGGATAAGTATTATTGTAAAGAAGCTATTATAATAAGAAAAAAAAATTCTTGACAACATATCCAAAAAATATCTAATTTTTCTTTTTAGTACAATAGGATTTATTTATGTTATGAACATGTCAAAATCTATTACACACCATGAACACCTTAAGATCTATTACAAATAACTGAATTGATAAAATTTAAATTTTAAAAGTAAAAACAAATATCTTTTTAGTTACAGTTTAAGTTCTAAATAAAGTTAACAGATTGCAATAATTTGTTTCACATTGTATCATTTCTCTTATGAGCTCACTTGCCAATTTTTTAATTTTATTTTTATAATTTTATTTCATTAGTAATTAATTTAAAAACTTCACAATTCACATAACAATTTAGAAATTTTTATTAGAGCCAAACATAAAATCTATGAAATTTAGAAAATAAAAAAACAGGTTTAACACAGTTTAAATTTTAATTCATAAATCATTTCATTTTTGAAAATTATTAAATTTTAAAATTATTTATGGTGATGACGCCCTCTTTGTTGAAGAAATGGGTGACGCTTTAAATGAAATTTTTAAAAAAATTAGCATTCTATTTTTAGAGACAAAATGAATCACAAATAAAATCTTTTTATTCTAATAAACCTTTATTTATTCAAAATGCACTTAAATTGCAAATGGAGGGTGACGCTAACAATTGTCTAGATGAGATTTCAAGAAATGGCATTTATTCATTCTATTAAAATAAAATCAATATGAAAGTTGACCCCCAAGAGTCGATACGTCTTCCAAAAAGATTACAATACTCTTGTTCCCCCCTCTTAAAAGCTGCCCAAAGTAGCAGTGGACTCGCTCACAGCCTCGATCCGGACGCAACCAGCTACGCCATATTAATATGTTAATGAGTAATACTTATCCTAATATTTATCCTCCTCTCCTTCTTCTACGGTATAACATAAATTGTATTGTTTTTAATCGCTTTAATCAACAACTTCATAGCACTTTAAAACTATTAAAAATAACTTCTATAGGCATTTTATAACTCATCTGACACAATCAAAACAAAACCCATGTGGTTTCACACACCGGCAAGTGATTTACTATCAACTCTACGTCTTCACGTGTAACATCGTATATAAAGCAAAGTAAATCAGCTTAAATTATTCAAATTAATAAAATTAATCTAATATTTAAAAAATGCAACTCAATATACAGCATTACATTTAAAATCGGTGAGTAAAATCAGTTAATCAAAGCAATAGATAAGAAGAAAAAAAACACCAATTGAGTTCCCGCGAACGATAAGAATGATAGCGATTTTTGATCTAACGTTTAAAAAAAAAAAGTTGCAAATTATTTTAAAATCTTGCCTGCTAAAGAATCATCTTCATCGTCATCTACGCCAACATCATTTTCTTCAGATAATTCTTCATCTCTTCGTAAAGGAGTAGGCATTTTAGAGTTCAATGGTGTATCCGACGTAAGCACTTACAAACACTTCCAGAAGACGTCTATATGGGAAATGGTAATCCTCATTCCCCCCCTCGGAAGAGAAGAAAAAAACTGCGCATGCGTTACCTGGCTTCTCATTTTGAGATTTTAAAACCTTATTTTTCCTTTTGAAAAACTGCGTATGCTGCTCTGCGGAAAAATAATATGAACAAAAATTTTTTTTAGGAAATAGCGCATTCGCGACTGCGCCCAAGCCCTGCTCGAAACTATAATTAATATGGAATGTTTATTTTTTTTTTTAAATATTGCTTATAATTAATAATTTATAAAGAAATAACATTCTATAGCAAATGTTTATATACCTTCCAAACATAATTTAAATATATATAGTCGTTTTTTAATAACTCTAATTTTTGATTGCTATTTTTCTAATACAAAACAACTTTTCAAAATTGAGTTTAATTCGATGAAAAAATTATTGAAAATCTTTGGTTTGTACTATCCTGTAACTTCCATTAAACTTTAAATTTACTTGCCATGATAACTAACATAACGTACGACATAAAATTCTTTAATTTTCAAACAATAGTCTTTTTTTATAATGCTTAATAAAAGTAATAAAATTTTATACAACATTCCTTTTTAAATTAAGAACGGCCTATTTATTTGCGTTCTAATTCAGACAAAATGCAAGACTAATAACAATCAGCATGGAATTCAGAAGCATCGTAAACGGGCATCTTGACAATAGTTCAACTAAACTTCTCATAAAAACATACATTGAATTAAAATTTATTAATTAATTGATATTATTATTTTGATAATATATATACAATNAATATATATATATATATATATTATTTAAGATTATTTCTTCACATTCATAACACAAAAAAATGACTATTAAAAATCGTGTCTAGAATTGCAGGATTTCAACTATTAGCAACATATTAAAATAATATATTTTTACTATTAAAGTAGTATATTTTCTGAATAAAATTATTTTTAGATCCCAAAAACAAGTAAAAGAAAACGCTGTCAATTGTGCAACTTACCTTCCTTTAAAAACTGATATAAATTCATTCGAAAATAATATGAATTCATTATAATGCGGGAAAAAAAAGAAATGGAAATTATAAAAATATCATAGAAGATAAACACAAATATTATTAGTTATTCTGAAAACATTATTTATTATATTTTAAAATGTAAATTTTAAAATTTGTCTAAATGTAATACAAATTTAAATTTAAAATTATGTTTTATAACTTAAAAATTCACTTTATATTTTTAAGAAACTAAATTAGAATTATAGAACATTTTAAGTAAAGGTTGTTAAAACCTTTACTTAAAATGTTCAATGTAAATATTTTTCTGTAACATGTTTATTAATGTTGTTATAATTTTTATTTCAACTCAAAATATTTTTACTACTGAAACCAGTTGAAGGGGATTGATATAAAATATCACTGACTAAGGTTAGTTATAAGTTCAAAGAAGCCTTTGATCTTTTGAAAGTTATAAAGACGAATTTGTAACTATAATTATGTAAACAAAAATATTACTCGATTCAATAAAATGACAAATATTTAAATTGTAATGTATTACAAATTAAATTATTACATTTATTAAGTTAACTAACTTATGAAACTAATTGTGATATAAAATGAAATTTTGTTTTGAAGGAAGTACTTTTAACTCTTATCGTACAGTGATCAAAATAAAAAACGAACCAACCTGAATAACTTTTGATCTAATGATCGGATCTTCACGACATTTTTAGTTGCGAAATCAAACACAAAACCCTATTTTCTTTAAATAGACTTTCTCCTTTTTTTCTTTTTTTTTTTTTCTTTCTCTTTTCTTTTTTTTATCACCCCNTTTTTTACAAATTTGGATTTCTAAGCCCCAAAATATAAGGGATAGCCGCAATCTGAGAAATATGGTCCCAATAATTTGGTCATGAGTGCGGCTCAAAATTTAGATCCCTTAATGTTAATTTTCCTTTTGAGTTTTTCACCATATCTCGAGAACTTCTCGATCTTCAAAAAATTTTGCATACAATTATAAACTTTACTTATCCAAAGATATTATTAGATAATGCAAAGATATTATATAACATGATATAATAATACAGAGATATTATTAGATCATAAAGATCCAATTCCGTGCAAATAATAATTTTTAGTAAATATTTATTATTTTTTATCACTATATTTAATAACAGTCGAAAAAGTTTTAATTTTAACATATACAATTTTTTTTACATCATATTAAAGAATGTAGTTTTACTTGGCAAATTACAAAATTTCTGAGTAATCGTGAATTCTTGATAAATCAAATTTTAAAAAGTCATATTTTCGTATGGAAGTAGTCGAAAAAAAGGTATGTTTATTCAGAGAAATTATGTTTTTGTGTCTGATTTCGTAACTTAAAATATCATCTGCACTAATTAATAAGCATATTTGAGGTCAGTGTCTCAAACCATTGAGTCATGAAACGTGAAGATCGGATCATTAGATCAAAAGTTACACAGAGTGGTTCTTTTTTTTTTATTACGTGCACTGTACATAAGAAATTAGAAATATTTAATATGAAATCAACATTTACTTAGTTATTATATTGATACTTTCTTTTATAAGCGTCGCCGGTGTCAAATTTTTGAGGGAAATGAATTTGAAATTCAGTCGCACGAATTCTCGAAATTTCACACATAATAAAAAATACTTAAATTTGCTAAACGTCTGCAAAAAGATAAATATATTTCTTAAACTAACTTTTCATAAGTTAAAATCGATGATGATTAATGGCATTTTTTTATTTTTAATTTGTCTGAAATATTGAGGGAGACTTGAAAAGATTTCGAATTACAACAATAAATTTCTTAAACGACGACGTAAAAATTTTAATATAGCATTAATCGGAATCGACAATTCTTATACAAAAAAGAAATTATTCTCATCTTTATTATCGAAATTCTGGGATCTTTTTATTAATTTCATAAGAAATTCTACCACCAGTGGCTAATTATATTGCGTACAGGAATATGATTTAAACAGTCTAAGATACTTAAAATAATGAAGGTTTTTTGGTAAGTAAAAGAAAAATTTATAAACAACTATGCCAACATTAATGTTGTAAAAGATTTACAATTTTTCATCATAAATTTAATAATGATGCACCTTTGTAACTTATATCATAGTATGTTTCCGCTTTGTTTTAAAATACGTGAATACTAAATTTATATAGTCACTTCGCGCTATCAAACTTGGCAACACTAAAAGATTATTGCCTTTAAACAATAATATTAATACGCTCTAAGGACTCGGTAAAAGTATTAATATAGCATTACCTGGAATCAGGTTTTAAAAAATTAAAAAAAGAAGTAAAAGTTTAAAAAAAATTGTAATAAGTAACTATATCAACGTTAATATTACAAGAGCGTTACAATTTTTTATCATAAGTTTAAGCTTATCAAATTTTAAAATTTAATAATAATAGACCTTTGTAACGTAGAATATTTTCGCCTTGTTTCAAAATACGCGAATATAAAGTTTAAATAGCAATTTCAAGTTACTTAAAATTTGGTATGCATTTTTGTTTCCGAGAAGGCATTTTTTAATCTGCCTCCTTCCTTTAATTAAATTTAGTGTCAAGAACAATCAGATATAAGAGTCACAAATGGATTCCTCATACGTTGCTCAGATAAATTGCAATTAAGTTAATAGCTTTTTTTGTTAATGGTTCATAAAAATTTAAACTTTTAAAATTGTTTGAAATATTTTCTACTGTTCAAGTTATCTAGTTTATTTCCTTCGCATTTTTTTGCCTGAACATGATAACTGAAATATTAAAATTGATATAACCGCTCAGCTACTCAGCAGATTAAAAATTAAATCTATTTTACGTTTTATACACGTTCATGTCAACCATATAGTCATGTTTTAGATATGTATGAGCAAAAGGAGTTATCAAATCATGTTGCTTGAACAATGGTTAAGGAGGTCGGCAAAAGACGCTTTATCGACAACTAATTCATTAATAGCCTTGTAAAATAAATCTCTTTGCAGAAAAAAAATTCCCATAAGCAAAAAAACATAAACGAAAAACGATAATAACCCCTTAAAAAAAATTTTCATAATTGTTTATTGAAAAAATCTAAGTTTTTTTTCAAAATCTAAAAAAAGAAGAAAAAAAAGATTTTCTAGTCAGCAAATCTGTTCACCTAACGTTTTTGTAAATAATGCTGATTATTAAAAATGTTATACATTGAGTAAGCAGAATTCTATATAAAGAATGCAAAAACACAATGAGCAAAAAAAAAAAAGAAGGAAAAAAGAAAGACTCATTCTAAATAACTTTTGATCGAATGGTCGGTTATATGCTACTCAGTTAATGCAAACGATATTTTAGCTACTAAATAATACATAAAAACGTACTTTCTCTGAATAAACACACCTCTTCTTAGACCAAGTTGGATTTCTTACTCTCAAAATATAAGAAAAGCTGCAATTTGGGTAATATGGTGTCAATAGTCGATTCAAATCTTTTTTTTCCTTGTATAAGTTATATTAAAAAAATTCACAACCATTAACCGAAAGCCAACTTTTGAAAAACATTAGAGAAACTCAATTTTAACTAAAAAATATTTATCTGTGTTATTGAAGAGAAAGTGGATATGTCATTGTATATAATGTATAAAGAACCTATAATAAGGAAAAATTTAAAAAATCAAATTATGAATAAAAAAAATTCACGAATATTTATAAAATGATAAATTTACTCAGCCGTTTACTGAAGGTCGAATTAAGGAAGCTCAATATTTGTGTCATTTATTTGTGTTTATACTCATTTATTTGTGTTTATGAAGAGAATATCATTACGTCACTTCCTACGTGGAATTAAATTTTTAAGTCTTTCATTTTGCATTAAAATATCTTTAAATGCATCTATATTTGTGTTATAGAAAAGAAAAACACAGAACTATGAAGAACCTAGTTTTATTTGCTCGAAATATATAACGCATGTCGAACATAAAATAAAGAATTACTCAATCAATTTGTGATTAGTTAAAATTCTTGAATTCTTAAGGGGGGATCCCACCCTGAA